ACCGAATGGTTGAAACACAGGTCTATTAGTCCGGGGACTTGGATTCTAGTGTCACTTGTGCAACTGACTTACTATATCACCTTGGACAAGTTACTTAAACTCTCTGTAATGTGGGGACAATTCTTTCCTACTCTACCAGGGTGCTGGAGATTAAATCATTACTGTTTATAAAGTACTCTTTGCTTCTTAGAGGATGCTATATTCCTGTGGTGTTTTTTTTGTGTTGAACTAGCTCTGTGAGGGGTTTTAGTTTTCACTACCTCACAAATCTTCCGTTAAATGTTTGTTTTGCCTTTGTATGCTCTACCTCAGAAATTTTCTCTCCACAGTCTAATTCCCTAAAGTCACAGTCTGTACCAAGCTCAGTGTAAATTACAATGAAAAAAGAAAATCCAGAAAAGAGGAATTATTTCAGCATACATCTACAGTTCCCATTCTCAAAAGCTTGGCAGTTTCTTCAGCGTCAACCAAGATTCTGTTAATGGATCGTGATATTACTGACATTCCTGTTAGTGCAGACGGTGCTAATGTTGTGCGTGTTCTAAATGCATAAACATTCAGGATGGGTGCAGTGAGAGCTAGTGGGGAGATCATGCGGAATAAAGTATCCTGTGTAGGCAGTCAACCCTTTTCTGAGATTTTTTTGTATTATTGTGATGGGGTATACCAGACCCTCTGAGGCTCACTGCTGGAGGCCTCATGGTCCTGCCACACCCTGCCCCCAAAAGCGGGCAGTGGAGAGGATCCTCTAAGCTTCCTAGAGTGGCTGTGTGGGACACAGTAGTGTCGTGAGGTAGTCATGTCGGAAGCCAGGGAGAGTGAGAAGGAGCCCTGAGATGGTTGCAGGGACTCCATCAGGACAAGGCCCTGAGGTAAAGCTGTAGATGGCACAGGGCCACGGGGAAGTGGCCCAGGGAATTAGAGTGGCAGCGTGACTTAGATAAAGGGACACAGCAGACAGCTGCTATCTACAGGGTCCCTGGATTGGGACTCAGAGAAGTGGGTGGACCTGGGTTCCCCCCCAACCCCTATTAGCCACTGGCCTGAACAGTGAGACACCCCAGAGGGGGGGATTGAACTATAGTGGCCCGACTGGAGGACTGGAGCCAGGAAGCCCCAAGAGGGTGAAGACATTGTTTCCAGAAAGGGAGCCCTGGGGAGCTGCTCTGTCCCAGAGGAGGGACAGTCAGAGAGAGAGAGAGAGAGAGTGTGCAGGCATGCACTCGGCCAAGGGGGCACTCACAAGAGGCGAGGGCACCCTGTTACAAAGCAGCTGCACCAGAGGTGGACTGATGCCCACGCTCACTTTTCCAGGCCAAGTCGTCCTTGCTGAGTGGACTAGCAGGTTTCACGGAAGAAAAGCCCATAGAAAGAATGTGTGTTCAGACTGTCAAATTCCAGGAGAGTTCACGACAGAGGCCCAAAACAGCTACTTCCTGGTGACAGGCATTGCCTGTGTGCAGTTTGTCTCTGTTCAAGGAAATGGGACTTGTGTACATTTGGTAAACAAACAAATTGCTCCAAGAAAATATGTGACATTCCTTTCTCCTCCCACCATCTATGCAGATCTATTCCAGGCCCCTCTAAACTGATCTACAGGGCCCTAAAATCTGCTACTACTTGCCAATGTTCCCCTGCTCCTGAAATGTTCAATGTAGAAGGAAAACTGTCTGTTCAATGTAGAAGGAAAACCTACCTGGCATGGTGTCAGTGCTTAGGTTGGCTTTGTTAAACATCACCTAAAAGGAAGACAGAAGATCAAATGAGAAAAGACTGTATGGTGAGGAGATTGAGACTAGTAGGAAGAAGGAGCAAATGCAGCTATTGAAACCATAGTTGTATCAGACTCCTGGGTCATATGAAGTTAATTTTTGTTTGCCAGCAATTTATTCATAAAAGCAAAAGTTTTGCGCGACTCCTTCCCAGATCAGTATGCTCCATGTCGTGCGTCCTACTGCTTGTGATTCCGACCATGAGGAAGCTCTGAAATACAACTGATAATCATCCCTGCTCAGCGCCAGTTAACATTTGTAAGTCATTGGCAGGGCCATCCGTAGGAGGGTGCAGGGCCTGGGACATTAGAAACTCGGCGCATATCTGCCGGGTGGTGCTCCCCCCTCCCCTGCTCTGCCCAGGCACCACCATCCCTTCCCCCAAGGTCCCATCCCCCCCCCCCCCGCCTCTTCACATTCTGCCCCCACCCTGCCTCTAGACAAATTGGAGGATTGGGCCAAAAGAAATCTGATGAGGTTCAACAAGGACAAGTGCAGAGTCCTGCACTTAGGACAGATGAATCCAATGCACCACTACAGACTAGGGACTGAATGGCTAGGCAGCAGTTCTGCAGAGAAGGACTTAGGGGTGACAGTGGACGAGAAGCTGGATATGAGTCAACAGTGTGCCCTTGTTGCCAAGAAAGCCAATGGCATTTTGGGGTGTATAAGTAGGGGCATTGCCAGCAGATCGAGGGACGTGATCGTTCCCCTCTATTCGACATTGGTGAGGCCTCATCTGGAGTACTGTGTCCAGTTTTGGGCCCCACACTACAAGAGGGCTGTGGAGAAACTGGAGAGAATCCAGTGAAGGGCAACAAAAATGATTAGGGGTCTGGAACACATGACTTATGAGGAGAGGCTGAGGGAACTGGGATTGTTTAGTCTACGGAAGAGAAGAATGAGGGGGGATTTGATAGCTGCTTTTAACTACCTGAAAGGTGGATCCAAAGAGGATGGATCTAGACTATTCTCAGTGATAGCAGATGACAGGACAAGGAGTAATGGTCTCAAGTTGCAGTGGGGGAGATTTAGGTTGGCTATTAGGAAAACTTTTTCACTAGGAGGGTGGTGAAACACTGGAATGCGTTACCTAGGGAGGTGGTGGAATCCCCTTCCTTAGAAGTTTTTAAGGTCAGGCTTGACAAAGCCCTGGCTGGGATGATTTAGTTGGGATTGGTCCTGCTCTGGGCAGGGGGTTGGACTAGATGACCTCCAGAGGTCCCTTCCAACTCTGATATTCTATGATTCTATGATTCTTCCCTGCCCAGTTCTGCCCCTTCCCCCAAGCGTGCTGTGCCCTCACTCCTCCGCCCTCATCCCCAGCGCCTCCTGATGCTGTGAAACATCTGATCCGCGGTAGGTGCTGGGAGGAAGCGGGAGGCGCTGATTGATGGGGCCCGCTGGCAGGCAGGAAGCACTGCGGGGAGGGGGAGGTTCTGGTAGGGGAGGCTCCTCCTCGACCCCCCCTCCCCCCCCGCCTGCCACTCACCTTCCTGCTTGTCTCCTCACCCCGCTGGCCTACCCGCCTCCCACCTCACCTCCCCGCTTGCAGGGCCCCCCAAAGCATGGGGCCCGGGGAAGTCACCCTGATTCGCCGTACCCCAGGGACGGCTCTGGTCATTGGCTTTGGAAGAGCTGAATACACTTCATTGCCCACAGCAACTGCACAGGCTAAGAAATGAGCTAACGCCCAGTTCTCTGTTGTGTATTTTAACAGTGCTTTCATCGAGTTCTTGTTTGCACTTGACTTTCTGGGGCAGCTTTTATAGCCGTGCCCAGAAAATCACTTGCTTGTTTGGAAGAGGGTGGAATGGGAGTCATAGTCACATCACAAAAAATACTGCATAGGAACCTGAGCTCAGACAAAAAGAAAAGGAGTACTTGTGGCACCTTAGAGACTAACAAATTTATTTGAGCATAAGCTTATTTGTTAGTCTCTAAGGTGCCACAAGTACTCCTTTTCTTTTTGCGGATACAGACTAACACGGCTGCTACTCTGAAACCTGAGCTCAGACAGGTGATTGCATATGACCCTGCTGCTAAACAAATCAGCAGTAGGCAGGAACAGCTATAAAAATCATATTGCAATCAAGCTACTTCTGTGCTGCTGCTCCAGCATATTTAGCTTCAAGCATCTGAGGCCTCCAGCCCTTGGTTCTTTTAGTGATATGTTGTTTGATCAGTGATGCCAGTGGCTTATTTTCCATAGTAACTGCTGGATCCTGAAATCTTTGCTCAGTGCTGGGTTCTTAGTAGGAGGCCTTGAGTGAGTAATGACAGGATCAGGCAGGCCCAAAGGCACTCAGTATTCGTGCTGTGTACTACAAGTGATGAGCTGAAAGAGGAATATCATAGTATAAATATCAGACCTGTAAAATAATAGCACTAGAGCTGTTGGCTAAGTCATTATGTTGATCTTCTGCCATGTTGCAATATAGAAAACAGTCCCGAGGCTTATAATATAAGAAAACAAAAATGGCCGCAGAATTCTTGTCTGGGGTAAATATTTTTTTACTATTGGTCTGAAAGGTCATAATTGTAAGTAGATTGTTATTTTCACATTTCCTTGTTTGGGGGAAACAGCTTACAGTATCTTCCAGGCTTAGTTAATTTGCTTATTTAAAATCTGGCACAAAATAAAGGTTTCTGTGTCAGGTACATGTCAAACAAGCATTCTCATAAGAGCACTAATAGGTCTTTATCTATGTCCTGGGATAGGAAGCAGATTCTGTTGGCAGATCTCATTGCATCATACTACTGATGGTGAAAGATAAGGAAAATGGTTTTTCATCAAGACAACAATATTAGTTTGTTCTATTTCCTCCATCCCTATTAAAATGGACAGTAAAAAAGTCACTTGTTAACAGTGCTATAGTGTACGTATGTACACATATATATGTATTAATAATGCTGTGCATTTTTGTAGGACTCTTTAGGTGAGACTCAAAGTGCTTTACAAACGTTAATGAATTAAGCCTTTAAGCACCTGGAAGATAGGGGATTATTATCCCCAGTTTACCGTAGGACTTAAGGAGGTTGTGACTTGTTCAGTATCCCAGAGGAAGTCTGTGGCGGAACTGGGACTAGAACTCTCATATCCTGGCTCACACTTCAGAGTGGGCTTGTTCTGAGTGGCATTTTGTTTGTTTGCCATTTTTACTATATTGATGTTTGTGTGCCTTACCCTGCTGTAGCTAACCCAAGGCTTCCCTGTATGTCTTGCAGAGTGTCTGGAGGAGAACTTTTTGACTTTCTGGCACAGAAAGAGTCTCTGAGTGAGGAGGAAGCAACCAGATTCATTAAGGAGATTTTAGATGGTGTAAACTACCTCCATGCCAAGAAAATTGCTCATTTTGATTTAAAGGTAAAAAAACATTGACCTAGTTAAAAGAAATAATTATAGCATATATTCTATAATGCAGCATATGTGATACATTTAAATGTGATGGTATATAAAATATGTTTGATAATAGAGAAGGTGGAAGCGTAGAATGCTTAGCTTTTTGGACTGAGGCTTCCTGTGCTGGATGGACATGACAGCACTCAGTGGAAAGCAGAAATGGTATTTCCCAAGATTTTAGAACCATACAATCGTAGGTCTGGAAGGGACCTCAAGAGGTCATGTAGTCCAATCCCCTGCACTCAAGGCAGAACTAAGAATTATCTAGACCACCTCTGACAGGTGTTTGTCTAACCTGCTCTTAAAAATCTCCAATGATGGAGATTCTACAACCTCCCTGGGCAATTTATTCCAGTGCTTAACTACCCTGACCGTTAGGAAGTTTTACCTAATGTCCAGCCTTGTATTTCTTTTTAGTGATGAGAATGAGAAATCAAAGAAGCCTTCATCTTGTGGGTGTCAGATATTTTAATTAATGCTACTGTTATTTATTGTTTATATAATAGCACCCAAAACGTGGTGGATGCTTTTACAAACATACTGGAAGATGTACAGTACCTGCCCCAGAGAACTCACAAACTAGTAACCATCATGAGTCCTTTTCTAAGTAATTTACCTTTGGAATCCTACCTCCATCAAAGCAAATTAGTCTAAGTGAACTTTTAAATATTAATAACAGTCAATATAACATTTGCCTTGTAAATATTAGACTTAATCCATATTCCCACTTCTGGCAAGCATTTCCTATGTAGAGACCCACTCGATCTGGGTTCAAGTTATAGTATGTGTGTTGTGAGTGCTACTTGCTGCTTCCAGTCCTGTCCAGTTCATTTCTTTACCAAACATAGCACAAACTGCAACAGCGATTGTGTTTAGAATTCTGTGAGGAATGAGGAACATTAGTCTGAAACTACAGAGTTCAAACAGCTTCGGCAATGTATGTTTGAGCAGGAAATAAGAGGTAGATTAGTTCAGTGGCTCTCAACCTTTCCAGACTACTGTACCCCTTTCAGGTGTCTGATTTGTCTTGTGTACCCCAAGCTACACCTCACTTAAAACATACTTGCTTACAAAGTCAGACATAAAAATAGTGTCACAAAAGTGTCACAGCACACTAGTACTGAAAAACTGTTTACTTACTGATTTTTACCATATAATTATAAAATAAATCAATTGGAATATAAATATTGTACTTACATTTCGGCGTATAGTATATAGATCAGTATAAACAAGTCCTTGTCTGTATGAAATTTTAGTTTGTACTGATTTCGCTAGTGCTTTTTATGTAGCTTGTTGTAAAACTAGGCAAATATCTAGAAGAGTTGATGTACCCCCTGGAAGTCTTCTCTGTACCCTCCGGTGTACACATACCTCTGGTTGAGAATCACTGGTTTAGCTGGCACTGTCATTCCAACACCAAGTATCAGTTGGTTCAGAATATGGCTGCTGGCCTGCTTAGTCATCCAGGTCACTGAGAGCACATCACCCCAGTGTTCCCCATGTACTATCAGGTGAATTTATAGTTTTAGTCCTTATCTTCAGAGCATTTCATGGAACTGGCCCAGACTTCCTGGGAGACTCTGTCTCTGTCCATGACTGTGATCTGCCTCGACAACAATGTGCCTCTGGAACTAGGATTCTGTCACCCACAAGGATGAAACTTGAGGCTGGGAAACTGAGCATTCTCAGCAGCAGGCCTGCAGCTATGGAATTTGCTTCCACAAAAGTTGCCATTTTCAGGACTATGTACAAAACATGGCTCCATCCCTCCTCAGAGCAAGGTGGAAGGTAGAGGAGATATGAGGAACTTTAAAATGGGAGCGGGGGGCCTAGAGTAGATCACATGCTGTTCACCATAATTTTGGTTCTAGAATTCTGTGATGCCTAGTTACTGCAGTGATGAGTATTACATGGGCAGATGTATGCCCAAGTTCTTCTCTTGAATATATATTCTTCTTGTTGCAATTGCATATATCCCAGCAATATAGTACACTTCATCAAACTTCTGTCCATATGTTTGTTTGTTTATGGGTGTGAGTATGTTGGGGTTACCCTGAAGCCACGTAGCCCAAGAACAAAGGTTTACACTGTGCATTTGAAAAATATGATACCATTCAGTGATGGAATATAATTATGTGAACATTAATAAAACTTTTCCCAGGGTGAGTTCTGGCTACTGAAATCCACGTCCCATGTCAATAAAGTTCAGTGGTCAATAATGATGTTGGAAAAAGAGCAAAAAGAAATGTGCATGTGGGGCAGAAGAGATATCATTTCATAAATACAGTAAATAAATCACTCACAAGCGATTTAAAGCAGGATTCAAGATATCACTCATCTGGCTTTTATAGGACTATTTTTAGAGCTTCTGCAGCATTAAGCTAGGCATTTATTTTTAAGCAATAATCCAACTAGGGAAATGGAGATCCATAATTATCTTGTCACTCTTATCAATCTCTTCAATCTTGCCATAAAAAAACAGAAGTTTGGGGAACATATAATGGGAACTAGTTTGAAATGGGTTTTTTGGGGGGAGGCTTGCTTGTTTGTTTGTTTTTAGTGGCCTTGCCGAGATTTGACTGTGGAAGTGTCTGCAAAAACAAAGGCTGTTGAAGCGAAACAAACAAACAAAACTCAAAACCCAGTGCCACTGAACTGCTGGAGATGGACAATACACCAAAGGATGGAGGGGGATGTAAAAGAGGGAAATCACATTTAAAATATTTTATAGCCATTATAACAACTGAAAATTCCTTTCTCCCAAGTGGCCCATAAACCCTAGCACTCCCCACAGAGATTCTGGGGGCAAAGGAAGCTTAAATAAATATATAACCATTTCTTGCTAATTTCTTACAAGCACTGATGGTAGGCTTGGCACTGTACAAAGACCCACAATAGAACTAGACCCTGCCCTGAAGAGCTTGGTGCAATATCAATAATAATTGCACTGTCAGGCCTCTGCTAATGTTCTGCTGAAATCAGTGGGGTAGCAGGACATATTGGGGGATGTTTTGCAGCAGTAAAAAGGGTTAGATGGTGGGTAAAGAATTGTGACATAATGAAAATGTTAATTATACTGTGAACAAGGCAGACATGTACATGTATCCAGTTATGTGACTAGAGAGAAGTGAAATATGGATTTGTGTTTTATTCCTATGATATTAGCCAGGCAACCACTTTTCCGATAGCTCCCCCTTTCCTGCTAGTCTGTTCTCATGACCTACTTCCAGCTGGTATAGTCTGCACCTTGTCACTTGCTGAAATCCAGATGCAGGCCTGAGAACACCAGGGATCAGCTCTCTCTGGTGTAAATGGGCACAGCACCACTGATTGCAGCAGAACTGTACCTATGTAAGTCAGGTGAGGATCTGCACCAAGATGCAGAGGCGATGAATAGAGATGACGGTTGAATAACTTCTTGTTTCATGCTGTACAGCCTCTAGCATAAGTCTGTTCTAAACAGGCCTGCATCACCTCAGCAACATACACTGCTGGCAGCTGAGTGCACTGAATCTTCAGAAGAAAACCAGCATAGTTAGCCTGGAGCCAAAATCACCTTAGTCCAGTGGCTGTGAAAATAAATTATTCATGTAGCCTGTCTGCAAGTGTAATGCAGAGTGAGCGTGTGTGTTAGCAGTAGCTCCTTGCACATGAGAATTAGTTCTGAAATGGTCAGGCAGCTGCCAACAGGGAATCAAACTTTCTGACTATTGCTTCCAGGCTATGATTAAAAAATGAAAATTGAATAGCATTGGAGCTCTTCGTCAGAGCTGTGCTAGCCATGTTGCTCTAAAAACTATAAAATAAAGGAGGAATGACAGGGGCTAAGAAAGTTAGTGGAAAAATAATTAATAGATACAGCACAGAGTATAGAGTCGAACCTGCTGCTTAGGGATGCTAATGGTTCTCTTTTCACAATTCTATCAGGTTTGGCCTGGTGCTTTTGGTTGCATAACAGTCAGAAATTCTCCATGTGTTCTTAGAATAGCTTGTTACTAGAGGTGGGCCAGAATCTCCAATCCTAGCCCCTTCTAATTTCAGAGACATTCAGATCCTCATCCCAGGATCTGAACATACCCCATTGTGGTGGAAGGGACCAGGCCATGGTAAGCTCACCCTCTGTGTTGTACCACCATGCTCAGCATGTCAGTCTCATAACATATCTCGTAACGCATCTAGTTGAGCCAAGCAATTATTTACAGTTATGTGAATAACTCTGGTGTGTCATCATTTCCCTGGAAACCAGGTGTATTTTATCTTCATCCTGCCACAACAACTATAATTAACAAAATAAACATAGGCAGGCAGAGAGAGAAAGCAACTGGTGAAGAGAACAAGGAAGGTCCTGACTTATTAGGAAGCAGGACATGCTGCAGCTTTTGTGAGAGAAAAGAATAAAGGCAATAAGTGAAGTGAATTACAGTATTGCTTTTGAGAGGGAGGCTTCAGACACTGAGGAGTATTAATTTTGCTGCTGTCAAGTATGATTTGACAATGAATGTCACATTACATAAATATGTTCAGTTTATCAAAACAATGAAGTCTGCATTGCCGGGAGTAGGTTTGTGGTTTTTACCTGTTCTGCAGTATTGCAAACATGTACAAGCATGAAAAGGTGACTCAAAGGATACTGCTTAGGCTCTTGATCTGTTAGCTTCCTCACAAATAATATAACTAATCTTTGTTTCATTATTTTTAGCCCGAAAACATTATGCTTCTAGACAAGAATATTCCTATTCCACACATAAAAGTCATTGACTTCGGCCTAGCCCATAAAATAGAAGATGGAGTTGAATTTAAGAATATTTTTGGGACACCCGAGTTTGTAGGTGAGTGTTCAAGCAATTCCTTTGTGTTGCAGCTTTTCACTGGAGAAGCCAGCAACACCTTCCTGAATTCAGGGAGAAGCCAGCAACACCTCTGCATTTTCAGTCCCCTAAAATTGCCACCCCATTTGGGTGCACTGCATCTAGAGGGCATGCTTGAATCTTCTCAGTGGAGCAGCCAAAAGGTGCCTTCTGTAAACTGTAGGTGTCGAGCTGAAGAGATCAGGGTGCTATCTAATTAGTGAGCTAGAGAAATAAATACAGGGTTGAAATTTTGGACCACCCCCCCCCCGCACTAATCCCATCTCTGTTACTTATTCTCCCTGTGGCAAGTCAGAGCCACTCTGCATCTGTAAAATGGAGTAATATAGGTCTCTGTTGATGTTACTGCTTTCTAAGTATAACTCCCTCCCACTGAACCTGTTTGGATTATGACAGGTTTCAGAGTAACAGCCGTGTTAGTCTGTATTCGCAAAAAAAAGGAGTACTTGTGGCACCTTAGAGACTAACCAGAGTCTCTAAGGTGCCACAAGTACTCCTTTTGTTTGGATTATAGCTCCCTTCCTTTTGTTACTCCAGGATGACTGTCATGTTGTGACTTCCTGATCATGTTTCTAACCTCTAGGTTTGCTTGTATTATCTCTTGGTCCTTACTGGTTTTTACATCTGCCAATCAGAGATCTATTCAGTTTAATTTACTTCCTCTTCTGGATAATAAATGAAGCTGTTAAATAAACACTGATCCCTGCTGCCCTGTTCTAGACACCTCTTCACACCTCGATACACTGCCGTTTATCACTTCCTTTGTTCAGTCCTCTACATGGATATTTTTCATCCACAAGGTGTTTCTTCTACAGATGCTACAATGAAGTTACAGTAACAGCTGACAACAATAGTAATAAATGGTGTGTTGGCTGGAAGGAAACCTTGGGCAAGTTGCGCTAGAGCAGTCCCTGACTGGCCAATTACTAAGTAAAGACCGGGCATTAATGGCATCAGTTTATTGCCATTCTGAAATAATTGGGGAGAAAATGCTTAGATCCATCTGCTTAGGGATGCTGTTACATGAAATAATTTGTTGTTGAAGGTATAATTAGTACTGTAGATAGATTGTAATGTCTTCCTGTTCTTTATTCTTTGATCCCTTTTCATGCTCAATTGACTCTAAATTAGCTCTCCCTCTGTTTGGGAGATTAAATTCCTACTGCCACACGTGCACACCACTGTAGAACTTTAAACAGAAATGACCTCATATAACTACTGGCATGCTTTTTACCAAGGACTGATATAATTCTTGACCTACACATACAATTCATGTTGCTAAAATTAATTACTCAATCTGTTGCTGATGTTTGAATAAATGCTTCTTACAGCTCCAGAAATAGTGAACTATGAACCACTTGGGCTAGCTGCAGATATGTGGTAAGTTCTCGGCATTAACTTTTCTTCCAAGATGTTATACTGCTAGTTTCTTAAGGGTGCTCTGTGTAAAATCCATTCTCTACATATCAGACAATGCTGACATACAGTAAATAGCTGTTCATTCAATCCTTCCATTTTTACCTGCTGTTTATAGTAAACTTCTACTCAGGATATAAAAAAAATTGAATTATATAAAATAGGAGTTAACAATTTGCCGCTAGCTGTCACCTTTTGGAGAGAGCCTCTTGAAAGGCACCATTGTCCCTGCAATGCCTTGTGATAGCTTTGTTTATAAAAGTGCTGTGAATAGAGAAAGCTTCGACACCAAGCTATTCTGCCCAAAATGGTCATAGTGGCTAAAACATCCGTGCGGATATTCCTCCATGCTTCTGACATGTACCATAGCTAATTAGCGACCATGAACCAACATGACTTAAGAAATCCATATAAAGAAAGCCCAGATATCCACATCATTTGAGCCTGTATCCAAAATTCATGTTCCTTTTTATGAAGCACTGACTCTTACATAGGTTTTGTCTGACTGCTAATATCATAGTTCATCTGCCAATCTAGCAGCTATAATTGATTCATGTCACACATGTATAAAACCTACAATCAATTGCTCTTTTTGTTTTCTAGGAGCATAGGAGTCATCACCTACATACTGTAAGTACAGAATTTGATCCACTTGTATGGAACAGCTGTAAAAGTTGTAGAAAGCTAGTGAAAATCAGCTCTTCTCATCAGTCCCTTAGGGAAGGAGCTGCACAGCAGGAATGGGGCAAGGGACTGATGGACAAGTGATCTCCAGAGGCCTTTTAAAATAGAGAAAGCAAAGAAAATTAAGTGAAACTAAAAGAGAGGCGATAGGACCAATGACCAGCAAATGCCTCTACATAGGACCAGAAGCACCTGTGCCTCATGTTTTTGGGGGTGGGATTTTCAAAAGTGGTCACCAAGTGTTGGCCGACCACTGCTGCCATTGATGTCAAACACCCATCAGCTTCAGTGGGAACAGAGTTAGGCTAATACTGAGCACTTTTGAAAATCCCACTTAAATCTCAGCCTCTCTAGCCCTGGGGTTCTTCTGGGTGGGCTCAATGGGCTACATGCTGCAGCCGTTACCCAGAGCTCCCATTGGCCTCGTTGGGAATTTTGCATTAGCAATCTTTGCAGCATCAGGCCCAACAAAGATAGAGACACTTAAAAGAGGAATCTCTTTCTGGTGGGCAAAGCAAGTGGAGCAGAATTAAACACACCCACAGGCCATGCTGAAAGCTTTTGGTTTGTTCCCTGAGCTTCGACCCCGCCCGCTATAAAAAGGGCTGTAAGCTGACAACATAGCCGGGATGCTGTGAAGTCCCTTATGCCCTGGGGTACAGTAAGGGGCACATGGATACAGTCCGAGACACATTAGGTAGCCCACCAGCAGCTAAAGAGCAATTCTAAAATTGTCCAGATCCTTGATCTTTATTTGCATTCCTCATGTCATCAGCTGATACATCTGAACGTGATAGGACATCAATGTCTTCATAAATTGCTATTTACATCTGTTTATAGATTAATGGGAAGGGAGACTGGATGTTGAGAAGAAACAGGTTAGAATGCTTACCCTGTGATGACAGTAATGCACAGATAGTCAGGTGTTCTGAGAGGCCTTCACCTTCCTCTGAAGTGTCGCATACACAGGCCTTTGCTGGAGGCAGGATAATAGAGGGAGTGGAGCAGTACTCTGTTCCAATAGAACAATTCTTTTCTACTTATATACCTTTGCTCTGTAGAGAGATAGAAGCATTGATTTTGCTTTTGCATTGCTCCATCTGGTTGAAATGACCTAGAAACCTTCTGCAACAATAAGTTTGTATTCAGAGATGGGCTTGCCCCATGAATTCCAGATCCAAATTTCCCCAAACTTGGAGGTGGTTCAGAACAGGAGTTTTCTCTGACCCATCTCTACTTATATCTAAAATCTCCATTGGAAAAAAAAAGAAATGCAAACAATGTATCCCTTTAGATTACTACTAATCCTGGCTCTGTTGTATCGCAGTATATTTGGGGTGTGTCATGGATCCACAGCATTAGTGCTATACCCCCAACTTTGGAACAGTCTCTAGGACAGTGGTTTTCCCCTTATTTACCATTGTGGGCCACATCAATACTAACTATGGCCATGAGGATGTTACATGGGCCGCCCCATGCGCTGATTGGGCCGCAAGTTGAGAACCACTGCTCTAGGAGGAACCCCTTCAGTGTGCCAGACCTGCTAGGGGTCTCCCTCTTCCTCCAAAGTAAATCAGATGGCTTCTCCACCTCCTTAGACTGGATCTCTGGGCCTGCAGCACTCCTGCTTCATACCATGAGCTCTGTTCTGTGAGTCCAACCAAGATAGATTCCTGGTAGAGACTTGTACGTTCTCCAGGGATCAATATATGTCCGCTAGCCTCTGTAGTGACATTCAAACAGTGTTGTCAAAACAGTAGGGTTTATTAGTCAACTGGAACATAGCATAGGGGAAGTCCTTAGGTTAACATACAGAACGGTACTTAAAGAGTAGCATAGAGTACTTAAAACAAGACCATTCTGGTCAGCCCAGAGCCTAGCTGAGCTCTAGTGAACTCCATTGTTCAAGGTGTCTGTCTGTCTCTTTGGTCAGATACCAGGTGAGAACCCTGACTCCTTCCAGCAGCCAACTTTTACCCCCCCAACGCACACCTCATACCTCCCCAGCTAAGTTCCGTTTCAGCTGTGCAGCCATGCAGCTGCCTATTAAGCCTCACGCAGGGGCTCAGGGCTGCGGTGGGGAGAAGTGCCCCTCTCCACCGGCCCCAGCGCAGACCTGCCATGGCAGGGAGAGGCTCCCCTGCCCACCAGCCAAAGCACGGACCTGCCGCAGTGGGGAGAGGTGCCCCGCCCTCGGTCTGGCCCAGCCCAGCCCCACTGGAGCCGCCGCAGCCAGGGAGAGTCGCCTCTCCCCTGGCCCCGAGCTGCTGAAGCAAGAGAGGGCAGGGGAAGTCCTCTCTCCCCACTGCAGACTGGGGACAGCCTGCACGCCAAACCCCCATCCCTGGCCCCACTCCAGAGCCCACATCCCCCCCCCCAACCCTCTGTCCCAGCCCTGAGCCCCCTCCACACTCCAAACCCCAACCACATGAATTTTATTATGTGCACCAATAGGAAGGTGATGTGTCTCACAACACCTCCATATTGGTGCACATAACAAAATTCATTCCGCACATGGACGTAAAAAATTAGGGGGAATACTATTCCCCAGTCCTTTGTTCTCGAGCAGGGGTATGTTGCTCAGTTTCCCTGCTGAGAGGTAGGGATGTCTGTCTCCCTCTGGGCTTTCGGTTGCTAGGTGTCAGTGTCCTGGTATTTGGATATGGAGACTAAGGCGCAGACAGCTAGGTGACATTCATATCTGCCTCTCTCAGGCCTGGTCTACACTAGACAAGTCGGTCAGTTTAACTACATTGGTCAGGTGTGTGAAAAATCCACATCCTTAGTGGCACAGTTAACCTGACATAAATCCTTTGACAGCATTTACAAATCAAAAAAATCTTACCCGGTTCTTGTGAATATATATTCTCCCCACCCTAACAGTAGCTTCCAGAATGGCTAATACAAGTAGCAATGGTTAACATAGTAAACAAGCATAAAAACAGTAGCCCTCTGTAAAAAGGGATGGAGACGATTGTGTGAGCCCTTGAATGGGTGGGGTATGACCCTGCACACACTATAATACTTTTAAACCCATTTTGTATTTTTCTAGAGTTGTTTCTTAATTTTATTGATACTAACTTCCGTTGATACCGTACGGTGCCTCTCATTGTAAGGAGTCCCAAAATGCTTAACGAACGCTGAGTGTATATATACCATCACCTACTGTAACACACATGACCACGTTCTTATGGACACCAAGGTCACTGCAGGGGTCAAACCCAGGTCTTTCAGCCCCAGGAGCACGAGCCCCTACCATCAGAGCTAAAGGAATAATTAATTTAGTTCTAAGTAGTAAGCTGTTATCATCACTGGGGCCAGCCTCTTGATGGAGACATAGAATCATAGAACCATAAGGTTAGAAGGGATCACTAGGATCATCTAGTCTAGCCCCTTGCCAAGATGCAGGATTTCTTGTGTCTAAAGACCGTCCAGGACAGATGGCAATCCTGTCTCTTTTTGAAAACCTCCAGTGAGGAGCTTCCACGACTTCCCTAGGCAGTTCCATTGTCCTACTCTTCTTACAAGTAGAAAGTTTTTCCTGAGATTCAATCTAAATCTGCTATGCTGTGGTTTGAACCCATTGCCTCTTGTCCTGCCCTCTGTGGCAAGAGAGAACGACTTTTCTCCATCTTTTTTATGGCAGCCTTTCAAGTATTTGAAGACCACTATTATGCCCCCCCTTAATCATCTCTATTCCAAACTAAACATACCCAGTTCCTTCAGCCTCTGCTCATATGGCTTGCATTCCACCAACTTGATCACCTTTGTTGCTTGCCTCTGGATCCTTTCCAGTTTCTCTACATCCTCATGATTACTCTCATAGAGCCAAGGTCCTAAAGCAGCATTTATACAGTGCCTTTCAAGGATCATTTAGTGATTTAAAGTTGGGAGAGAATCATCTCCATTCTACGTATGTACAAACTGAGACATGGAGAGGTGAAGTGACTTGCCCAAAGTCACAAAGGACCAATACGACACACAAATTGAGGGGACAGTGGATGGGAGGAGAGAAGCCAAGTGCCCCACAGTATGATTTTGAGGAAAGGGAAAAAATATGGCCAAAGACATTATGGCAGGGATTCCCCAGCTCTGTTTTGTATCCACTGGTGGGCCACAAAGAGCTGGCTTTTCACGTGTTGCCTGCTGTCCTCCCTGTTTCTAGCTGACTGAAATGGAGCAAAGGGACAAGTGGGGGATGAGTGAAGAGCGTAAGTAGTCAGAACAATTGACTGTAATCAAATAGGGCAATACTTAGGGAAGTATTTTTAGCTCTTCGGTGCTCTAATATTACCTTCCCATGTCAGCAGCTGTGGCAGTTCTGGATTGTTACATGGCAATTTCTCTGTTGAGATTTGGTCCACACTATGAAAGCGTTTCGGAGCTCCCTGTTTTTGTGCATAGTGCCTCCGTGTTTCTCGTATCCTCACTGAGCAGACGTAATCACCATTATTAAGGTGTAATGCAAAAGATCCTTGGTTAGTGTGACAGTGTTGGATGATAAAGGCCCACTGTGAGCAGAATCACTTAAACAAGCAACGTCACTCCTCCTAGAGCTGAATGGTTTGCTGCATTTCTGTTTTGAACCCACTGCATCCTGAACTTCCACTACCAAAGTCCAAACAGGGGAGGCAAGAATAGTAGTACTATTTTAATGGGATTAGATCAGTTTCCTTAGTATAAAGAACACTTGCTGGATATCTAACTCTCTTGACTCAGCATTCATGGTATTAAAAAAGGAACTCTAATAGAAGTGCTTTAACCCCAGGTTTTTGTGTGATTGAGGTAAATATGAGTCTCAGATGAAGGATGTCAGTTATATTTGAGAGAGATGCAAGGCAGGCTCACAGCCCTTTCCATCTAAAAGATTGCTGAATGGTGTTTTATGAGGATGATGACTGCAGTGTATCTTTGCAGTTTTAAGCATGGAACTGAGCTCTGATAGAATTAGCTCTTCATGTTCTATTTTATTGCACTGTAAGTCCCCTGGCTTGTCCTGCGGACTAGTTTTAATCAATGCCATGTCCTCTTCCCACCCTGCAGAAATCAGGGCAAGGCCACAAAAATCTGAGCAATTAATTTTCTCTATTTATGTGGACCTCTTGGGCCCAACTCTAGGTGCACATTGTGCATAGATGCTTGCCAGTGAACTGCAGGCGGAAAAACAGCACAGGGCAGGAGTTTTCCCAAAAAGCCTACAGAGGGGCTACTGAACAGGGCTTCCTTGATGGGAACTATGGGGGGACATTCCCTGACATAGCCTGTGAGTATCTGTGTGTGTACCCCTGATGCATTCATAGCAACTGGACCTCTCCTCCAGTGCGGATTATTCTTACCCTGGGGGGCAATAGCCTGTGTGTGTCTCAGGGATGGGGGTGTCTGAGAATAGGGTCTTTGGTGTCGCACATGGAAACACATTAATGCTGCTTTTGTGAGTCTGTTTTGTAGCTATATATATGGTGACGCAGATTTGAGCCTATTATTTCCAAATCTTCTTGGCTGCCCTGAAAGAGAGACCCACATTCTATCGTTGTCATTTCACAATCTCAGAATCACATCAAAGTAACTTTATTTTTCCCCAATCAAAACATGATCTTCCTGTCTGGCCTGTTCAGGCTCAGTGGCGCATCCCCTTTCCTTGGAGAAACGAAGCAGGAAACTCTCGCCAACATCACAGCCGTGAATTACGAATTTGATGAGGAATTTTTCAGTCACACCAGTGATCTGGCAAAAGACTTTATCCGGAAACTCCTGGTGAAAGACACGCGGTAAGTGAATGTACAAAAATGGCTGGCTGCCTTTCATGCCACCCAGGCAAAAATGAGCACACTGAGCAGTTCAGAGTTTCATTACAGAGTTGGTCATTGTCCCAGAGTGAGGCATTAAGTACAGGTGTATTGCTGTGTCCCTTGTAAATCTCTATATACAGAGGACCTACAAATATGCCCTATACCAAAATTCACCAAATGTGCCAAAATTTGGCATGCATTTTCTTTCACCAGTAGGGTTGGATTTTTATTTTTTTTTTTTTGGTAAAGTGCAAATTACTGGAGTTTATTGGGTTTTAGAAGCTGCCCTTGTGTCTGGTAATTTTTAAATGTTTTTTTTTATTGCCTCTAATGACATCTCAATTCACATGTCCTGGGTGAGTGTGTGTGTGTGTGTGTGTGTGTGTGAATTAGAGAGAGAGAGAGTTGATTTTATATTCAGTGTTTCAAAAGCAGCTGCTCTGCATGGACAAATTCAGACCGGAAGTAAGACATAAATTTTTAATAGTGAGTAATCAACCATTGGAACAGGAGTGGGTGGGTGAAATGCTGTGGCCTGCGTTGTGCAGGAGGTCAAACTAGATGATCATAATGGTCCCTTCTGACCTTAGTATCTATGAATAAAAGGGGTCTGGTGGACTCTCCATCACTGACCCTTTTTAAATCAAAGTTGAATGTTTTTCTAGGAGATCTGCTCTAGGAATTATTTTGGGGAAGTTCTATCAGCCTGTGCTACACAGGAGGTCAGACTAGATGATCACAATGGTTCCTTCTGGCCTTGGAATCTATTAATCACATGCTAAAGCCTGCAGATTGGCTTGCAGAGATTGTCAGGAAACTAGCTCCTGTGTGTTCACTTGGAGGCTTGTGTTCATCAATCTCAAACCTCCAGAGGGACACCCTATCTACTCACACCTGTAGGCCACCATTTTCTCTTCACTGTCCTAACAGAGTCCATCATTTGAGGCAGGATGGCTCTTATCCCTGGTCTGTCGTGGATGTTGGATAATTGCTCCCACATCCCAAGCCATTAGGAACCTTCTAGGAAGTGAGATGCACTCAGCTCGTACCCTTTATTGCTGCAAACTCCTTTCTCTTCAGTTGTCTTTGTGTCAAATATGGCCCATTAACTCTTGTGCATCAGCTAGGTACACCTGGCACTTCTCTAGCAGCTATATGGGGCTTTTCTCCTACCTCGTGGTGATTAGGGAATCAGAGATTCTTTAGCTACTGCAGTAGGGATTATAGGAGAGGGATCTCTGCTTCTGAAGTTTTTTAATGAGCTGGATGCACCAGGACTATCTTGCCACACTTCCTGCACTATGTTGGGGTGGGCGGAGGGAGGAAAGGGCATCCTTGTGGGTTATGTGCTGCTGAGCCCTCTGAAGAGTCTATTAGTACTAGTGGGAGTGGTCATTGGTTGTCCCCTGAAAACAGAGTGGGGGCCACTTGCAGAAAGGTGTGGGAAGGCAGGTCACTAGGGTGCCCTTTAAAGACATCTGGGGGAGAAGGTAAATAATGGGGGTTGTTGGGAGAAGGATGCCAGCTAGGGTATCTGTCCAAACACATCAGCAAACATTTCTCCAAATTTCAGACCCCAGGATATGTTGGGATATGTTAGAGCCTGATGTGAATGTTTTGCACAGGTTTAGCAAGTGCCTTTCAAGCATGGCAGATCAGGCATATTGATATCTGTGCCATAACCAGCTGTGAAGGCAGTACCCTGTTTATGTCCATCCTGCCTGAAGGTGATAGTGTACTGTTTGCAGTGCTGCTAGGGTGTAGGAGAAAGGGAGATTTTCTGATTTAGTACTGAAGCATCCCGCCCAGGAATACTGCTTTCAGGAAGCAAGAGCTCCAGGGGTGACTTAATAGCTCGTGCATTAAAGACGTTTTTGATTACATTAAGCTTATATCAATTGATATAGAGAAAAAGGCAGACCAAGTGTGTGCAGGAAGAATTCACTCATTAGGCACGTTAGACTAGTAAGACAGAACATATCATGAAACATTAGTAGCGTTTCACCTCTTTTTAACAGAACAATGAGAGAGGGAGAGATTTTGATTGTGTGGAAATGAAAATTAAGTAGAGCTGACAGCTCTGCTGTGGGATAGCACTGTATTAACACTGAAGACAGAAAACTGTGTGTGAACCCTTCTGCCTGAAAGTTGTACCTCACTGTAAGTAATCCTGTCACTACTGGTGACAGTGTTATAGATACAAAGTACAATATTAAAATGTTGGTTCATAAACACCCTGAAAGAAGTGTATGGTAAGCAGCTTGGCTCTCATTTAAGTCTGTGTTTCATTGCAGGAAACGGCTCACAATTCAAGAAGCTCTCACTCATCCTTGGATAACGGTAAGGCCAAAGATAGTGACAGAATATGGGTGGTGATTTTGTAACAGGTGAACATTTGCTTCAGGACAAACTAGTACAGAATTTTTATGGGAATTTATATTTCCACACAAAAGGCTATGTGCCTAAACGGCAAGAGAATTCATCATGGTTACGGCTTTCAGAAATCAGTTTGAACCAGACAGTGAACCTTAGCCTCTCTATGTCTCACTTTCACTTATGAGCAAAGCAGGGAGAATACTCCCCTTCTTCACAGGTAAGTTATGAGAAATAACTGGCTACTAAACACTCTGAGATCCTTGAGTGCAAGACAAACAGTAGTAAAAACTGCTTCAATTCCTTCCAAAATCTTGGATTTCTGCAAGCCTTAATTATGACTTCTGTTATTACAGTAAACGCCAAAGGAGAGGTGACTGGACTATAAATAAATCGGCATACAGTATTCTGTATTAGAACACAATTTGTATTGTTTTCATCTCTACTCAGTGTTTGCATGGACACAAACCATACCTCTCGTGTAGTGCTTTTGGGTGTTAAGAGCTGACCACACCAAATGTGAAAACAAATCAGCTCCCTCAAAATGTCATTGGTGTAGTGAGCTAGTAGCTGTCTGGATTTGCTTGGTATTTGGATTTGTGTGTGTGTGTTGTTTTGTTCTAAGCAAAGCTTGCCTCCGTAGATAAATCTCTTAATGAAAATAAATTTAGCAATCTCAGCATGGCAAATGTGGTTGTTTAAACACTGGATCGTTCTAATTTTGTTATGTATTGTACAAAACATTGAGTGGAGTGTTTTCAGGATTATTTTTCCCCCACAAATGTTGATGGTTTTGCAAATTTAACTGCACAAACTGTAGCATGCAAATAGTTCACGGCCCTTTAATTTATTTACACTTGTCCCATGTGAATGAATGCTCAATGCTTGTCACATTACCCCTTTTATTTTAATCAAATGCATGAACAATGACTGGAAACGACGCTTCTCCCCAGCATTGTGGAAATGCAGTCTTGCATCCCTTGTCTGCTGTGTAGAGTTGAATTTGTGCAATATCTTGCAATCTTGATAAACAATCAGTAATACTGGTTCTTCTGTCTGAAGACTCACCAGTTGATAGAAGAAACAAAAGTCCAAGAAAACAAGAAGGCTGAGAACAGTCAGCTGAAGACAAAACGTCTGAAAGAGTACACCATCAAGTGCCATTCGAGTATGCCACCAAATAACACCTACATCAACTTTGAGCGCTTTGCCCGGGTGGTAGAAGACATTTCTCTGATGGAACATGGTTTCAGCACTCTGGCTATGTCCCACGATTCCCTGCAGGAGGACATTGATGCTCTGGTTTCCATATATAATGAAAAAGAAGCTTGGTACAAAGAAGAAAATGAAAATGTGAGACACAAGCTTTCACAGCTGAAGTATGAGCACCGTAAAATTGAATCCCTGAAGAAACATATTCAGGATGACATCAAGACTGTAGGTTCTAGTCTTGCAAGTGTCACTGGGAAATACATTGATCTAAAGTCTCAGTATGAATCTCTGAGTCAGGAACTTTCTGAGGAACTCGCATGGATCCAGGATTTAATGAGTAGTTTTCAGCTGGAGAATGGAAATGAAGCACGTGTGAATGGAAACTTTGGCTCTGTTTTCAACAAAGATATTAATGAATCACTAATGGAGCTGTTAAATAGATCTTGCTGTGAGGAATTCCTTGCAGGCTTGAATCTTGATGTTGCAGAATCAAGACAGTAATGTTGGTTAGTAGGCAAAAATCTTCATTAGAACCCCTTGCTGTCTGTCTGTCTCAACGTGCAGCTGTAAGAAATCATCTCAGTGTGTAACTTCAGCACAAAACCACCGCCTATGCATTAAAATAGAAATATGGAAATGTTGCACAAACTATTGACCAAAAACTTATACTCTGAGGTGGTTTTTGTGCTGATGTAATGACCAGCCCAGTTTCTGAACCCTTAGAATTAGAAATCACTTTGTTCTAGGGCACGTGTAACCCTGCAGTTATTCTGTACTAACATTATAATAATATGTAAACATACAGGTCCTGAAGATTATTAGGTAATTCACTTGAAATGAAAAACTATGTCACTCCTTTTTTAGCATGCTTTGAAGTCTATAAAATCACCTGGTAGCATTCTTGTTTGGATGAGGGCAATAGTCTTGCAGACTTGCTGGGGATAATTCTGCACAGCAGATCATTAAAAACACTTATGAAGGTTATTGCAGCCCTTTAAAACGGAGCAAATGATGCAGTGATTTATCATTTCACACCATGAAAATCACAGCTAATGAAGGAAAGTTAAGGTTATTTTATAGGCTAGTTATTCAGGGTACAGTCTCTCTTTCATTATCATCAGATGTTAGAAGTCCCCAAACTGTGGGACATGCTCCCCTAGGGGGGTGCAGAGGAATGTCTGGAGGATGCAGCTGGGGCTCAGGCTAGCCTCCACAGGGTTTGGGGTAGGAGCGCCACCCCGCCCCACCCCAGCTCTGCTCCTGGCCCTGCCCCCACGCCCAGGTCTCTGTTCCCAGTGGTCCAGCTGCTGGTCAAGTGCCTGGGCCCCAGCTGCCGGCCTTGGCCCCAGCCTAGGCTCCGTCACTGACCCCGGCTGTGGCCCCAGCCTTGGCCCCCTTAACCCTGTCAGCGTCCCCCTCCCAGTACAGCAGCCCTGCTCCCAGACCCAGCTTGGAGGCGGGGGGGGCACGGACAGGGGTAAGGGGTGGCCCGAGGCAAAAAGTTTGGGGACCAGTGTTAGATCATTTTTATTTCTTTAATGTGAAGTTCTTGCCATAAAAACAGTTACCTTATGTTTTATGTACCAGAAATATTTTGTTCGAAAGACAGAATGATAAATCTGTAATGGAATGATTGGAGAACTGTGTATGTATATTTTGCTGTGGAAAATTATTTGTGAGGATGATGATCCATCAGGCAGTGTCAATAGACCTTTGACTTTTATTCCACAATAAGAAAGGTCTCTCAAAGGAAACAATTCATTGACTCAGTGTGGTAGAACTTGAGACTGGTGTGTTTGTTCCAAAGGTCATTTTTGAAACTTACAAGAAAGGAAAAGGAAAAAAAGTCAATGTTTAAACAGAATAATGCACCTTTTTCCTGTGTTTCAAAGGAAAGGTTAACTGCTCAGGCTGTATTTATGTGCACAAATGTAACCATTTCACGTTTTGGACACAATAAATAGTCTCTTATTCAGGATGCTGTAGTCTCTGATGGGGAAGTCTGTGACTGAAATAGGATATTTAAACATCTACTTAGTGAAGTAATTATAGGGCCAGATTCTCTAGCTGGCTTATGGCTCCTTTGTGAGGCTGAGGTACTGCAAAGGGGCTGTAATCCAGTGGCAAATGCCCTGCAGAGAAAATGAATTGGGGCATCTGTACCACAGTTGTCACACTCACACTCCACACACACACACTCCTCCTTTCTCTCCCTCTGCTGCCTGCCACTTTGGCATGAGGGGTGTGTCGTGGGTCAGGAGGGAGTGTGGTGGACCTGTGTGTCACATGGCAGTTCTAGACTGGCATAGGTCCTTTCAAGGAGTCTTTACCAGTGGTGCAACATAGAGCTGCCTGGAAGCCCAGAGAATCAGGGAGTGGGAACTTGACCGTGCCATAGCGGGGTCCGATGCAGGAATCAAACCCATGTTTTTAATGACCTGACATAAAGACTGCAGATTGTCAGAGAATATCTGCATGGCCAGTTCTGTGATGCATCTAGTGGAAGTCTCTTGGGGCCAGGCCCACAGATTTGTACAGGGCCAGCTATTGCAATGGGGCTGATGTTGACTGGGCCTTTGTGCACTACCACAATACAAACAACATGATCAAGCAAGAAATCCCTCCCCCCTGGGCGCTCTAGCTCTGGCATGGGCCATGAGAGAAGAGTCAAACAACAATGTTTGCTCTCAGTGCTGCTTCTAGCAGCCCATTTGGAAATGGATGCAGTTGCTTTCCCAAAACGGGTAAAAGTGAGAGTCACTCTGTATAGCTTCAGGCAAACTCTCCAGTCTTAGTGGCCAAAATCCCCCTTTTCAGATAATCATGCTCTTAACAAAGAAGAGGACAAAGGGAGAGATGACATGTCAGACTTTTCTCTTTGTCCGCCCTTGCCCTCCCCTAAAAAGCCCACTCCTCTGTTCTGGAAAAGCTAATAATTTAAATGTAATGGGCTGCTGCTCATAAGGTTATAAGAATAATCCTGTTTATTATTTTTATCTACAAAGCACCAATGTATTCTCATTCAGTTCACAGAGAATGATAAATCAGAAAGTGCCATGTTCTCATAGTGACTTTGGGAGACTAGTGAAAAACCATGCTTAATGTATATATTTGTTTTACACCTATCTGAAGCACAATAGCTGTGTCTGGTGATGGGCAGAAAATAGACACGCACCCTATCCTGAGACACATTCTACATTAGACAGGATGGAAGTAGAATTTTCAAAAGTTTCTAAGTGACTTAGGCACATAAGTGACATAGTCTTTCAATGAGACTGAGGTTGCTAAGTGCCGAAGGCCCAGATCCTTAAAGATATTTAGGTGCCTAACTCCCACTGAAATCAATGAGAGTAAGGTGCCTAAATATCTTTGAAAAAGGGACTCAGGCTCAAAAGTCACTTAAGTGCTTAAATGAAAATTTTACCAAGGACCTAATAAATCTTATATCTCGTTTGTAATTTTCAAGGGTGCCAGAGGAGGGAGGGAGGGAGGGGCCCAACTGCCATTGAGCGTCAGGCTCCTTTGAGAGTCCAAGCCTAGAGCTCTGCCCAGTGCTGCACGGTACGTTGAAGAGGCCACTGTCCAGAGGGACTAGACAACTTTTTCAGAATCTAAGTTCTCTTCCCCTCATTTTGAAAAATAAGAAAATCTAGTAAGATTCAAAATCTGGAGAAAAGACCCTCAATGTACAGAATCTGTCTGCCCCATTTCTGGCCCCATATTTCTGTCCTTTTGGATTATCTCTGTGTATGAATGTACCAGCACAGAACAGAAGGGACATTAGAGCAGGTGCTCTGCTCTTTAGCATGTCTGAGGCTAGTATAATTATGACCCACTCCTCAAGGCCTGTGCTTTTTTCATGAGCTGAAGGAGGACAGTGCTGTACCACTCCTGAGAAAGGAGCATGTCCAGCTGAGAATGACAAGATCACAACTTTGCAAGGTACTTAGCAATATGGGGCAACTGATTATTAACAGTCTGGAGTATCAAAAAACTAATTATTTTGGTGGAGCTTCAAGGGCTCTGCCATTGAACGAGCACTTAAATGTTTTTTGACGATTATTCAACTGACATTTAACAGGGACATTTTGTAGGTCTAACCTGATTTCTCACCAGTCTTTTTGACTTAGCACATTTGTGGCATGCTGCCTAGCCCCTTATAATGTGGGAAACTGACATCTCATGCTTCAATATCCAGGGTCAATTGTGCACAGATGTTGTCTATCTTTAACGGAGATGGAGGGCAGGCTGATAATTTCAGCTCCTTTCTCTCAGAGGTATTGACATACTTTGTCATTGGAGATGAAATCGCAGCCTCTGTATTTATTTGTACAGGTTCCAAAGCTGAGGACAGTTTCGGAGAATGATGGGAAGCAGAAGCAGTGCAAATGGTTCAGGTGTTTGCCATTAGGCTTTAAACATTTCTCTGTGCAACAGTGAAAGTTGTCCTGGATTTCCCACAAAAAGTGTTCTTTTTAGAACTGACATTTTCATATCCTCTTTTATAGAAAAAGTACGGATTTAACACGCGGTCCTATTTATATGGCCTCCCTGCCCTCTGGTGGCCCAGAAGGGATAGGATCAGGTATTGGCCAAGACTGAAGAAAGGGTTGAGTGGTGGTCTGCTATACTATGGTAAATCCTCTGGAGTTTTTACATTGATGACCTGATTATCAGAAGTGCTGAGCACTAAAAGGTTCCATTTGAAAGGGATTTGTGAAATCTCAACCCCTCTGATGATCAAGCCATGACTATCTAACAAGAAAAGGAGTACTTGTGGCACCTTAGAGACTAACCAATTTATTTGAGCATGAGCTTTCGTGAGCCACAGCTCACTTAGCTGTGGCTCACGAAAGCTCATGCTCAAATAAATTGGTTAGTCTCTAAGGTGCCACAAGTACTCCTTTTCTTTTTGCGAATACAGACTAACACGGCTGTTCCTCTGAAGACTATCTAACAGCATATCTTCAAGGTGTTACATACCTTTTGTCTGTTGCATAAAAATATTTGTTAAAATCTTAGAGCCAAAGCTGAACAACTTGCACTTAGATGCTGCTGGCTCTGAGGTTGTCCTTGGGCTGACAAGTATCTCAGAATACATGTGCATAAAGCTTTAAAACTCTGAGTCCCTCATTGATGCTGATGTCCTATGGCACCTCCTTGCTCTCTCTCCCTTTCTTATAAAGATTCTGTAAAATACATCAGCAGACGGGCTACAGCCAAATTGCAGAACTATTGACAAGAAAAGATGTGGTGTTGTACCCTGTTATAGGTGTATTGTTTAGAACACTGTTGGCTGTTTAACAGCATTATAGCTTGTGTGAAAGAGAATCTGTCTGCTCAACAATATTACCAGTTTTCTGACAAGATGTTTAAATCTTTGAGGGTGCACTTTCCATTCTGCTCTGGTGCTTCTATTTCCTTGTTTGTTTCATTCTCGTCCAATTAAATCTAAGCATTTCTGGATCTCCCACCACCATAACATCTACTTACAACATAAGTTCCCTGGACCCCATTTACTGGTGTAGCATGTGTACCATAACTGATATTGAATGTCAGCTAACGTTCTCTCATTTTATTATGAGGAGTTTGGGAAAAGTTCCCATTTTTAGTTTGCACTATTTCATGAAAATGATACTTCATGACAGGCCTCATGCAAGTGAAACCTATGTATTCCGTTACTTTTCCTGTTCAGTTCTGAATCGAACCTATTGGTTTCACAACCTAAATGAGCACCTCCTGCAATCCATCTTAAATAACTGTCCAGTTCTTGTAATGTGAATCACTTCCAGTTGAAAGCTATCTTTGTTATAACTTTGTTCTTATGTCCTGTTTTACTGATCAGCAAACCCCTCATAGTTATGGTCTATTCGGGTCTTTGCCATTGCTTCAGCATGCTACTGACCTACTTCCTGGGTCAGCGGAGAAGCAGCACTCTTGGTGCGTTACAATTGGATGTGTGAGTAGCAGAGGACATGTAGATAGATCTCTTTGAAGTTTCTCAGTATTTCTTGTTCATATGTTATACATTCTCCAGTTTCAAAACTGGATTAACAAGTCCCTCAAAAAGTTATTTGTGTCTATAAAGTCTCCCTGTGCCGATTGGTAGCACGAAACAGCACTGTCGAGGTGGGGTTATCAAATCCTTCTGGTAAATAGTAAACCCAGTAAACTTACACACCAAAAAGACATGCTGGGGGGAAAAAAGAGGTACGAAATTAGGGAAAGGTTCACTCTGAACTTTGGCTGAAGTGTATCTTTCTAAAGGGCCTAACATGGAAACCCTAAATATTAACACATCCAAAGCTAGAAAGCTAGGATCTAGATCTGAACTTTGTCACTAGGGCTCATCTCTAGAAAAAGCTGCGTGCATTAAAACAGAGAATCAGGTTTAGTGATCACATCTTAAAATGTTTGTAACATTTTATGTTCCCCTTAAGTGGAGATTATCTCTCCTTTCACCTCTTTCATCACATAAGCCCATGTGCAACTCCTTGCATCTGATTCCTCTCGCATGCACCCAGAATCCTATGCAGTTGTTTTGGACCACTAGGATTGGTACAATGTGAAGCATCTTTATGGGGGACCTCAATGCAAGTAACTGAATAAACTAGTTTCAGCAGAATACCAGAGAGAGGGAATGGGAGCAGATAAGAGTTGGTTGAATTCCTTTGGGGACATGGCCCATGGGTTAAGAACCTCTGAACTAGTGTAATGCAAAAATTTCCAGATTGTTTAATAACAATGATTTGGCTTTTTGGGGGCTTACTCAGCTTTTCCATTGTTAGTATTTCATTAGTACACTGGGACTGATATAGTTCCCTGATTTCTAAAGTACTAGTAATGACATCAGTAGCATCATTTCCCACCCACCTGACAGTGTACATAGGGAAGGATCTGACATGGCTGATTAGCAGTTGGGATATTGACTAAGCCCTATGGAACCTCTGAAAAGGGTATTATTTTTTAAAGGGAACACTATCAGGTTTAAAAATCATATATTTCTTTTTTTTAAAAAGCAGCTTTTCTTAGTAATGTCTCTGTTAAACACTTCAGATCGTTGATCATCAATCTAATTTGCCCTTCACCATCTGTGCTGTTTACTTTTAGCATCACACTCAGCTTGGACAATGAAAAAAGTACACTCGTCTGTTTCCCTTTACCCTGGAGGAACTAATAGTGACTTTAGAGTTAAGGCTGAACTGAGATTTTGCCTTTGATGGGACCTTAAACCCTCTCAGGAGTTGAAACAGTGGCTTGGCTTTAAAAAGCTAAACAGATACAGAATGCATGTCAGAGACAGGACACTGAAGTAGATGAACCACAGGCCTGACCTGGTATGACAATTCCTAGCTCCCTATGACAGATGTTCAAGTTAATACTACTTGGTCTGTCAGCACCATGGATTGTGAGGGTTCCTTATGCACTTAACTATGGCAGCTGGATGGAATTAATTTTAAACCCTCATTACTTCCAAAGGGGTCAGAGGTAGAGCCAGGCAACCTGTTTCCCTTCCTAAAGGGCCTTGACTAAGGAACCCCACAGGGTTCTGTTCTATCATCATTCCAAAGCGACACTTGTCAAAACCCTGCGGAAGGCTGTGGAGATACAGGCTAAAATGTCATCAATATGCTGACAACACCTCTCCATCTCCTTCTCAACAGCCCCTGCTGGAGTCCTTTCCCTGCTCTCCCAATGCCTTTCAGAGAAAGGGGCTTGGATGAAAGCCAGCGAACTCAGGCTCAATGCAGATAAGACACGGGTGCTACAGGTCGACAGAGGGAAGCGCTCTGAAGAATTAGCACAGTCAAGAACTTCTCCCTCCGCTGAGCACCTCTCTGCCATCCTCTCTCTGGTTTTTAACTCAGTTCAGTGTGTAACTGACAGAAGCAGAGTTATGTTTACTTTCTGTCCCTATGGAAAGCTAAGCAATCAACTTGTCATCTCTTGTGGCACCTTAGAGACTAACCAATTTATTTGAGCATAAGCTTTCGTGAGCTACAGCTCACTTCATCAGAGCTCACGAAAGCTTATGCTCAAATAAATTGGTTAGTCTCTAAGGTGCCACAAGTACTCCTTTTTGCGAATACAGATTAACACGGCTGTTACTCTAAAACTTGTCATCTTTTGTCTTCCAGCCAATGGACAAGCGGCAGGCCTTGGTGAGGCGAGAATCTGTCATTAACTTGGAAAACTTCAAAAGGCAATATGCCAGAAGGCGATGGAAGGTACGGCATTGGGACATTAATACTGATGTGGTAATACTTACTTACGCTGAGGGGCTTTGAGGGTAAGTTAACATTTGCATAGTGCTTTGAAGGTGTAAAGCACTATCGCTGTATTAAGTATGCTAGGGATTTCTACATTGCAAGTGTCACTTAATTCTCATCTCTCTCCTCCCCCAGCTCTCTTACAGTATTGTCTCACTGTGCAACCACTTATCTCGCTCACAGATGAGAAAGGTCTCACTGATGCAGGATGAAAGTTCGGTAGGTACATTGAAAAAACAAGGGGAAAAGGGAAGGGAAAAGTAACCATTTTACTGTGAAGTGAATCTTGCTCCCCTACCTTGGGCACCTAAGGTCCAAAAAAATCTGAACTGCCATGGTTCTGGGTAGTCAACCCATGGAGAAACCAGACCATGAGATACTGTACCTTTTGTGTACCCTGGGCCATTGCTCCAACAGTGCTATCTGCGGCATAAATGGGGAGCAAGGAGTGGCCAGTGGCTCTGCAAACTGAATTCATGGCCAAAATTATAATATGGGGGAGTAGTATGAAAGTTGCACTAAGTACATGGCTACCATAGTGATGAGCATGGTATCAAACCCTTAACTGAGAGAGGCGAGGAGGTGCAGTTGCTCTGTGCTGGGTGGGGAAGGGGGGATTTCATCCCAAACCCTACTATGTATTGTAGTTCCCCCGTGCAAAGCCAAAATAAATGGGCTTTGCATAGGGAATGGAAATTTGATGCTAAGGGCAAATCTTGCACTACTGATGCCAGTGAGATTTTGCCGTAGACTTCAGCAGAAGGTTGCTATGTGAGCAAACATGGACTAAGGAAGCACTTGAATATAAAAGGTCTTATCTAAAATGGGAAAACCCTTGTGTTCAGTGGCTTCTCATGAGAGCACATCACTGGACGGTTTGTATTGCTTAAACTTTAGGTTTGCAGAAACGTGATTCGAAAAATTCATTAGGTTGCAAGTATAAGAAGCTTACGTATTCCTGATGCATTTTTGTCTAAGTATTCTATTCTGTATAGGTTCTTATACCATCTATAGTTTTTTAGTGGGTGTTATTTATTTTTTGCTTTATTATTTACATGCATTTTACCAGTCTCTATTTAGCCAAAGATAAAATAGGGGTTTCTGTCAAGCTGTTTTGACAGTGAGTTTTAGTCAATATAGAAAAATAGGAACAAGGATGTCCTGCTTTAGGGTCAGATCAACAACCCCACTACACACCATCTGCTGTACTTTGGCTGGGAGGTCACTTATTTTAGTTTTGGCCCAATAATCTCATCTGGGAACAGCCACCCCAAAGTGGACAAACCAGTCTAGAATCCTGTGTCTCGCTGTGGCCTACTAAATGTTCCAGTTGATGGGGAAAATGTCCATAATGCACCTTACACCTCTAGAGAAACTCAGTGATGTTTCTCTTCACACTACTGCTTATCCTCCCATAGGTGACAGATTAAGTATGTGTTTGCTAATCTATGTAGGAACTCTGTATCTCATTCAACAGACTGAAACATGGCAGCCTCTTTATTTCAGAGAAATTGTGAAAGTGACCAGGAAGAAGATCTTTCCCAAAGAAATGGCACTCATCTGAGGAAAAGCAGCATATTTTAGTGTATCTAGTATTCCACACTAGAGAGACACAGGAGGAAAACCTCACCCTGGCTAAAAATGCAGCCCTAAGAGCAAATCTGGTTTATGGTCAGATTCAGTGATGATGTGCTGCTCACTTTTCAAATTACACAGAGCACCTGCATAATATTTTTCAAGATCCGCTGAAAACTTACAAAACTGGGGAGTCCGGATTCCCTGAGAAGTGCGGCAGCACCGACACCGTCGGAATAATTTTACTTGTAGAGCTTTTCATTCTTCTTTGAATTCATCTGTGAACTGTGATATCACCTGTATCCAGAACATTGTGTTTTTACTGACATTCTCTTAAGTGTAGCGCAATTCACATCCTGAGCCACATATACGAATGTGCGTATTAATACCAAAGGATCAGCCTTTATGGCAGTGAAGCTGTTATTGCTTCTTAAGCAAACTTTTACAAATAATTTTTATCATTATTATTAGTAACACAGATACACACATCTGAGAGAGGTCTGCAATAATACCGCTATCCTTGTCATGATGAAAAGTCATCGTGTTTTTCCATTTTATCATCGAAGGCTCTAGCCTGATGGCACAGAACTGGCGTAAGGAGTGGACCTGAGGGAATTTTTTTTGCAACAAACAGTATGCATTTTTCAACAAACTGAAACTATTCACAGAATCAACACAAAGGGCTGCATAGTTTCAGCAAAAAAAATTTTTTTTCCCAAAGACTGAGATGCCATTGGCAAAAGACAGGGAGAAGTGGTGGTACCACCGTTGCTGTCTTCCTTATAAGCTTTAGCCTGGTGGTTAGGGCACTCATGGCAAACCCGGATTCAGTTCCCCCTTCTACCTGAGGTGGAGAAAGGATTTGAACTTGGGGCTCCCTCGGTGCAGAAAAGTGCCCTAGCCACTGGGCTATGGACTATTCTGATGTGGAGCTCGCTCAGTTTCTCCTGTTGAAGCAGTTTTTACAGTGTATAAATAATGAAATAGTCATTGGAGCAGGGATTTGATCTGGGGTCTCCCTCCTCCACTGGCTATAGAGTCGGTCCCATACTGTCTGCTTGGACCAATGACTATTTGTGCTTTATACTAGGGACCATTCTCTACAAATCTGTGAAAATAAGCTCTACACTGGTATAATTGCATCCACACTAGGGGGTTGCACCACTTTCACTATATTGGTTTCTAAGCCAATATAGTTAAATTGGTACCAAAGTATGTGGAGACCAACCCTTTGTTTTGGGTTTGATGTAGCTAAAACCACAAAGCAAAATCAGCTGAATTAACTGCTTGTTCTACAAAATTTCACCTGATTTGAACGGTTTTGTATCAGTCATCCCAAGCTAGAGATTTTAACAGGTTAGAGTTGCAAGTTTGTATTAAAACATAACACCAGGTAAATTTTGCCTGGCTTCAGGTTTCACTGTGAACATTTTGCAAAGCATTAAAAATCAAATTTGAGTCATAGCTTTATATCCGATTTTAAGTGGGGATAAAAACATGCATAGCACATGCATCAGGAAGAAGTATCCAGCATCCAGGAAGAAAGAGTAGCATAAGTGGAAGCAGAAAGGAAAGTGTGAAGGAAGAGGCACAATGGTAAGCAGGTGGGAAATTATCCATGAGGAGGAATGACTGAAAGGGATAGCTAGGAAGGGTAAATAAAGAACTGGGGAGGTTAGAAAAGACTGGAGGAGAGAAGGGAAAATAGAGTAGGAGGATTACAAAGGAAAGGGATGGAAAGCAGAGTGTTTCCACCAAATGTCAGACCACAGTCTGAAGCAGTTGATGTAAAAAATAGGCTACCTCATGTTCAACAATGCTGTAGACCAGGGCTAAGTCTATGGTGATCCTCAGCCTGTAAAGCCTTGTCTTCATTAGGATGAAAAAGTGTATTCTGAATTTGCGTTAGCAAACACAAGGTAAAACCCTCGTGAAGACCAGGCAGTTTGTTTGCACACGTTAGCTGGCTGAGGTTAAGACTACATGGCTATCTAGGGTTTATCTTGATCTGCTAACTCATTTTAAACTACAAGTGCCTTGTCTTTACTAGGATTTTGCCTTGTGATAGCTAATTCAAGTTAATATACCTTTTTTTCCTATTGAAGACAATACCTAACTGACCAATTGCAGAGTATCAGAATTATGCAGCAATCTTTTTATCTCTCATCTAGATTTCTACAGTACTTTCTTAGCTACTCTTGACTTCCCTTACCTTGTTAGACTTGTCCAGAAGTCTGATTCTAAACTCTTTGAGATGGAGCCTCAGATGGCATAACTTGTCCTAGCTCCATGGAAGTTAATGGAATTATGGCAATTTAAGACCAGCTGAGGCTCTGCCTCAGTGTTTCTACTGTGTTTCCGTGCTCTCTCATTAGCCTCAGTGACTGGCATTGTCTTGGTAGCTCCTTTTTCTTTTTCCCCACAAAGAAATAAGTGCTACATCTTTGTTTTTGTTACAAGTTGCTTCCAAAAATTCACTTATCACAGCAGTAATGCCTGCTTCCCAACAGTGATGATAGTGGAGGAAACGCTAGATTACTGAGAGCTAGAGAGACATTGTGCATGACAAATCTGAACCAGCACTTAGATACTATGCTGATAGGCCACTGTAGAAAAGTCAAGGGTAGATGATTGGAAATATGGACTTGAGCCTTGTTCGGAATATTTGTTGTAAAATCTGAGGTGGCTTCCCTACATTTTTTAAAAAATTAACTTAATTCTGCTTTGATCAACTGTTCCCTGAGTACTAAGCCTTGTTTTTAATTGAGGACAACTGCCTTCTGAGTTAGACCAGGTACTGCAGCAGCATCTGAACACCAGAATGGCATTGTGAGGAACGCTGGATCTGGCTTACTTGTCAGCATCACTTTGCAGAACAAACACTTCTCTTTGCACTTTTTATATTGAAGAGTCAGCCAGGTACCCAACAGAGCAATGTTTCTACCCATTTACTTCTTTGCTTACTCTCTGCAATTCTCTGTGTGTATAATATTTAATATCTCCCAAGTTAAGGTAAGTTTGCTAATGATTACAGTTTAGGTCACTAAGAATTCGTGTTTATTTCGGTGTGCAAGGAGTTTATTTTTGTGTTCACTTCCAGGAGAGGGATATTTCATGTATCCGAGCCACTTGGTCATATATGCATGTCCTTAAAACCATCCTTAACTATTTTACACTGTTTGTACAGCAGTATGTATTATATCCGATTCTTCATCTCTCTCATCTTCTAAAGTCCTGAGCTGTTATCACTTTTCTAATAAGGTATCCAGACAGTGAGTAATTGCTGAACACTGGCAACAATGCACCTATATCACATGGACCAAGCAAAATATCAATTCTGTTTTTATGCAGAATTCCAGATAGCCCAATTGACTATTAAGGATGAAAGGGGATTATAATATTACTTTAACATAAATGGTACAAATTCAATATTAAAACCTAGGTTTTGATAAATTATATTGTACAATCATACTGAGGACTTTCAACACTGTCCGTAGTGTGGTCATATGTTGTAATATACTACACTCAAATATATATATATAGTTTTATTAGCTGTTGTGCTGATATTTTAATGTATGATTGCATTATTATTATTGTTATTTTCCAGGTTCCACATCTTAAATTATATTTGCTCGTCTACTCACTCACCCAATTCCTCTGTGTTTACAAGCTAATGGAGACCAAGTCTTCAGTGTATCGTTCAGTTACCTATTTTTATATTTTTTTTACACATCAGCTTGTGTAGACTTAAACATTGGACTAAAAGTGAATTTGTACTGTAGTAATGGATAATAACAAGAGAATAGTGTATAGAAAAAGTATTTTCTTTTCATTCTACAGAGGAATATTTATAAAGAGAACACTAAAAACATATATTTGAAAAATCAATGGCTCCTCCACTTGTCTCCCAGTTTCTGAGTTCAGGATTCTCTTTGTCCTGTCCCAGGTGATGGTGCTCAGATTAGCCTGAGTTTGTCAGATGGGATATGGGAAATGAAGCTCTGGCCCTGAGATTTTGAGATAAGCAAAGAAAGAATTTAAAGACGTGCTGAGCATCCACAGCTCTAATTTGAAGTCTGCATGAACTGCAGGTGTGCAGCACCTCTGAAAATCAGGCCCCTGAGTCCTGGTTATAGTAACATCCTGGATTATAACATCTGACATTGCTTTGGACCCAGTCCTGTGAGGAGTTGAATGCACTCAGCTCCCACTGAAGTCAGTATGAGTTAGCATTTTTCAGGATTTTGCCCTTTAGTTTTGGCTGTACCCCTGTGCAACTAAGGACATGAGTATGCAGTAATAACCACAACCGTACTGTCACTCCCAGATAAACCAGCATTGCCCTCCTTTCCTTACTAAACTGTTCTGTGAGCCGTAGCTTCACATGACTTGTATGGGATGTGGCATTCAGTGCAAGGGAACCACCAGGGGGTGTTATAGGCAACACTCATATTTCAGCAAAACTATTTCCTGATCTTTTTTCAAATACTAATCCAATGCCTGTGTATATTTTGAAGGTTTCAGTGCAAACTCTAGTCACTGGTTTACTAGTACGTTTTACTATATTTTCTTTCCTCTCCACCTATGTATTCTGTTGGGGTGAAATTCACTCCTGTGCAGAAGGACCCGTACAAGATATAAGCACCACTTAGTTAAGATCTATCTAGAAGACTTACGTGGTGCATAGTCCTCATCCTGCTCTGTGCATAGGGGTGAATTTCACTCTTAATGATTTGGAATCTTAAATATAATTGTCCTTGTACAACAGCCTTGAGGTTTCCCCTTGATACTGAAAGTAGAATGTAAGAATGTACTTCATTATAATGATTGCACATATTACAGGACATGCCTCTTTGGGAGAAGATCTATATTTTTAATGCATTCCTGGCCCCTTGGGAAACTGAAGAAGAGGGATGCAATAGCCTGACTAAAGAATAAATAAATATTTTATTATAAATCAATTGACATAATATGGATATTTTATTATTGACACACCAGTGCTGTTTTTAACCTCTGTACCTATGTTTTTACTAGGAGAAATACTCAGATTTTTATTGAGTATCTGGCAAGAATACAAATTCTGTCAGAACGCATGAAATATATTTGTCATTCTGATTTGCGAATAAAACTTTGCAAAATATGAATGAGTGTAATCTCTTTATTTCCCTGTGCATTTGTATTAATAGAGAGGGAAAGATGGTCCAGTGGTTAACTGGGATGCTGGAGACTCCGTTTTTAGCTTTGCCACAGGCTTTCTGTGAAGCCTTGGGCAAGACACTTATCCACACTGTGCCACAGTTCCACACCTGTAGAATGGGGATAATAGCACTTCTGTACATCACAGGGGTGCTGCAAGGATAAATAAATTAAAGATTGTGAGGCGTTCAGATATTACAGTAATGGGGGCCATATAAATACCTGAGAGAGAGAGAATTTAAGAATTTTTCTGCTGTGCTGCTGCCATATTAGAAATGCTATCAGATGCTCTTCTTCTGCAGTCGGTCAGATTTTTACCTGAGGGTAAATGCTGAATAGAGCTGTGTAAAGCTGCTGGAGTTTCTGTCCATTTTGCAAACCTGGGGGCAGGATGTTTATGCAGCAGGGAAATGGAGTTGATCCTAAGGGTCTCAGAAGCAAGTGTTACACAGGTCCTATGATGTCAAACATAGCAGTGCCAGCAGACAGCTGACAAAGAAATAGCAACAGCGCAGGAGGAGGCTGACGCACTAAGCCTGCTGGGCTCAAGACGTGGCATGGAATGCAAGAGCACTTACGCTGCTGGCAGCCTCGGAGGAGCAGACTGATTTAGGGTCCCAGTCAGGTTGGAGCTGCAAGTGGCAGAAATGTTGGAACACTGCAGGCTGGTGCATTCTTCTACTGTCTGCTGCAGAATGCAGCCATTTGGAGAGGGGTAGGGCTCAGAGGATGTGAAATCCCAACCCCCAAGTGCCAGTGCCTAGAGGAGTTGCCTCAACAGTTGCCTGGAACAAATTTCATCTCTTTCCTATGTGCACTGCTGACTTGTCAAAGTTGCACCCCAGAGCTAGTGCCTGGCATCAATGCAGTCCAGCAGCTGGCTGGCTGGGGGAGTTGTGGGGAACTAGGGCACTGGACACGGCAGGCTGAAGTGGAAGTGTGTTGGAGACAGCACAGCAGTGCTGCGTGAGTCAGAAAAACAAGCAAACAAAAAAGGTACAGTCACCCCCCCCCCCTTTAGCATGTGCAGGGGGATAACCAGAGATACACTTAAATTGGAGAGCAGAATCATTGTGACATGATGCAAGGCATGCTTCCTCCTCCCAGGCACCGCACATGTTCCCTCCAGCATGCACCTAGTTCCTGCCAACCCAAGGACCAAGAGAGTGGGACTGGGACTGGAATGTGACCACTAAGGTGTGGGGCATCAGGAAACCCTTCACATCCTCAGATACATTTTTCAGTCTGCATCCTTTAAATAACTGAAAGCTCTGTTATTACTAGCTCTGAGCCCTGCATGAACACATTGATCATATCTTGGTGTAAGTGACTTTTCAAAACTTAATACTGTTTACATTTGGATGTGGTCAGGAAAGCTACTTAATTTTGTGTATGTGAGAGAAAAGGTAATGCATGTTTTAATTACATAGTTACATATGTACTTTTTCCACTCTTTCACAAACCATTTCAATTTCCATGACTGCTTCCTATGAAAGAATATGCTGTTCACTGTTGGTCCATCAGTATTGTAGCAATGGGTCAGTGGTGGGTATTGGATAGATTAGGTGTGTGATGAAGCCACCTCTTGTTCCCTTTCCTAGTTCTTTCAAAATGGTGTGGGGGAGGGGAGTTAAAGTCAGAATTGGTTCCCAGGCCCTTCTAAGAGTCTGCATCACTGAGCTAGTTGATTTAACATGCATGACATTAGGAGAGATGAATTATGCAGTAGATCATCCAGCCTTCTGCAGCTACTTAAGCAAAATCAGTGTAATCTGCATTGCAAATGGAGTTATCTGCCTGAAGTGATAGGAAATGTTTGAACCGTTTCCAGGGTGAGCTGTACAAACTGATTTAGATCTCTCATTTGGGTCCTGTTACAACTTTTAAGGAAGCCCAGTGGTTTTGCTGATTTCAAGTACTGCCTGCAATTAATGTTCTTCTAGTTAAATTACTTCATTGTAGGTCATTGCATCAGCTTGCAATATCTGTTTATCTAGTTGGCATTTTAATATGAATGGCTTTTGATTCTGTGGGGAAAGAAGAGCAGTTACACATGCTGAGCCATAAGTAACTGGGCACTCAGTCCTGTTTATAAATATATCCACTTTCAAACCACATGCTGGGGAAACTTCTGGAGAATTGGCTGATCGTGATTTGAAGGACATGGCAGTGGTTTATGCATGTGTGTCAGTGGCACTGAGGATATCTCTACACCACAACTAGACACCCGTAGCTGGCCTGTGCCAGCCAACTTGGGCTCTGGGGCTGTTTCATTGCTGTGCAGACTTCTGGGCTTGTGCTGGATTCCAGCCTCTAGGACCCTGCAGGGTGGGAGGGTCCCAGAGCTCAGACGCCATCCCCAGCCCAGAAGTCTGCATATCAATGAAACGGCTCTGCAGCCATCGGCTGGCACAGGCCAGCTGCTGGTTTCTCTTTGCTGTGTTGACATACCCTGAGTGAGGAGGAATTCAGGCAGTGGATTACTATGCCCTTTGCCCCCAAGTAATTCTCCCATGCAATAAATAGCCCCTTCTGTTTCCATCAAGCGGCCTTCCCCAGCATGGGTCAGCCAGGCTCAAACATAGTGTACATGGTTGTCTGGGTCTTAATGCTCAATATCTACAGAAGATCAAGTCTCTTCTGTTAAAAATTGAGGCCATTTAGTCTCCTTGTAATAAGGGTTCACTGGGTGAGAGCTAGGTCCTCCTTTTTGGCTGAGATGTGTAAGCTGGTCGCTTCTTTCTCTTAATGGACTTTTAAGAAAAAAAGTCCTTTGGGATTCAGCAAGTGAACCCTTATCCCTCTTCATAGTGTATTCTGGGGTAAGTCCCTGTCATCAGTGCTGTGTCTGAGCACTCAGCAATGGATTGAAAGCCAGCAGCTGGCACTAGGGACTTGAAGAGTCTGCATTATCCTAGCTACGTTTTACACATCCTTCTGGAGCTTGCGTGGGTCTTCAGAAAGGCAGCTGAGCCTCATTATCAATTCACCCAGGATGGCAAGGAGTCACAGGTCGTTCGAATCATCTCATTAGAGAGTGGTCTAAAGCAGTGCTACTTGAAGTGGTGGTCCACGGATCGGGGCCGGTCCGCGAGCCACCGGCTGCCGGTCTGTGCGCACACTGGAAAAAAAAATTGCTGGTCCTCACATCAGATAGCTTGAGAAGCACTGCTTTAAAGGGTAAAGTAGCTGATTAGTAAATGAAGAGTTTTGGAGGTGGCTGAGCCTGTCTGCATCACAATTAAGCGTAGTCGTTTGAAATGTGATATTGCTGGCACTTGCTGACTGCGCTCATTTGAGTGTTTTCAAAACGCTGCAAATAAACTCCAAATAAGTTTCCCCAAGGATTAAAACAGGCTAAGCCACAGATACAGCCTTTGAGGTGAACTAGGCTGGGTGCTGCTGACCTGAGTGGTGACAAGAAGGAGAAGAGGCTGTGGGAGGGAAAACTAGATAGAGGTTCAGGAGGGGAAAGAGGCAAGAAGAGAAAATAAAAAGGGAGAGAGAAAGCAAAGCAAGGAGGAGTCTAAAGAAAGCTCTGTGGAGATAAAATGGCTGGAAGTGGGAGTGACAGCAGAGAAGGACATCAGGATTTTCCTTGCATGTTTTAGTCCATTCCTAAATTTGAGGTTAGTAAAAATTACTTTAAATTCCTTGGCTGAAAAGGGGAAGCAGAAGAGAAGGTTGTTTTTCTATTGCTAAACGTTGATTTCTCTCCGGTGACAGCCAGGGCTAGGCACAGCATTTTCAGCGCCCCCGGCTACCCAGGCCGGAGAACCCGCCACCACAACTGCACAGCGTCCTGCATAGCACGTAGGGTTGCCAACTCTCTCCAGCAATTAAAGATTAATATTCAATTAAATATTATGTGATGCAATGAAACCTCCAGAAATACATCAAACCAGAACTGGCAACCCTAACACCCCCACCCCCAACCAGCGCCCCCTGCACAGCCCTATCACCACAACTGTCCAGTGCCCCACACAGCCTCCCCCACTGCCCAGCACCTCAGCACACACAGATCTCCCCCACAACCCCCCCAGTTCCTCCACAAATCCCCCACTCTCCCATGCCCTACCCACCAGCTGCACTCACCAGCCCCCGTGGGAGGTGACTGTGTCTGCTGGGAGTGGCGTGATCAGACAGGCTGGAGCAGGAGCAGGTCCTGTCCAGGCCGGGTTCCCTCAGGATCCACTTGCCTGGCAGGGCCTCCTGCACTGGACTGCTGAGCTCTTCTCCTGCCACAGGGGTAGGGTTGCCAAGTGTCTGGTTTTTGACCAGAACACCTGGTCGAAAAGGGACCCTGATGGCTCCAGTCAGCACCCCTGACTAGGCTGTTAAAAATCCAGTTGGCAGTGCAGTAGGGCTGGCAGGCTCCCTACCCAGCTCTGCTCAGATGCCAGGAAGCACCTGGCATATCTCTCTGGCTCCTAGATGTAGGGGAAGCCACGGGGGCTCTATGTGCTGCCCCTCTGAGCGCTGGCTCCACAGCTCCCATTGGCCAGGAACCGCAGCCAATGGGAGCTGCAGGGGTGGCGCTTGCGGATGGGGCAGTGCACAGAGTCCACTGGCCACCCCTCCGTCTAGGAGCTGGACATGCCGGCCACTTCCGGGAGCTGCCTGACGTAAGCAACGCCCAGAGCCCATGCCAGAAGCCCCCTCCTTCACCCCACCCCACTGCCCCAGCCCTGAGCCCCCCCTGCACCCAAACTCCCTCCCAGAGCCCACGCCCCAACCCCGTTCCCCAGCCCGGAGTCCCCTCCTGCACTCCAAACCCTTCATTTCCCCACCTTGGAGCCAGCACCCCAACCTAGAGCTCATATCACCTCCCACACCACAATCCCGGAGCCTCCTCCCACACTCCGAACCCCTCGGCCCCCACCTCCTAGCCCCCTCCTGCACCCCAAACCTCTCATCCCTGGCACTACTCCAGAGCCCGCACCTCCAGCCAGAACTCTCCTCCCTTCCTGCACCTCACCCCTTCCCCAGCCCGGAGCCCTCTCCCACACCCTGAACCCCTCATTTCTGACCCTAGCCGGAGCCTCACCCCCTCCTATACCTCAGCCGCCTGCCCCAGCCCAGTGAAAATGAGTGAGTAATGGTGGGGGAGAGCGAGCGATGGAGGGAGGGGAGATGGAGGGAGTGAGGGATGGGGCCTCGGAGAAGGGGCGGGGCAGGGCAAAGGTGTTCAGTTTTCTGCTATTAGAAAGTTGGCAACCCTACACAGGGGGCTCTTTTGCTTTCCCTACTGGCAGGAGCACTCCAGCAGGGCTGCATGAGGCTGTCTCCACTTCTGCCGGCCCCGCACCCTTCTGGGAACCATGCACAGCAAACTTTGAGGTGCCCCTAGAACACCGGTGCCCCAGGCACGTGCCTAATGTGCCTAATTGGAAATCGGCCCTGGTGAGAGCCTGTATGTGGGTCAGTCCCCAGTAAGTTCTCCTCACACACACCCTTTCCTATGTAAACTGTGTTGGTGCACCAAGCAGAGTGTGGCCTTCCTATAGTCGCAGCTGGCTTTATTCTGGGATTAGGTGCCATTAAACCTGAGCGATTTAATCCAAGGGTTGCTCTAGGTGTCAGAGGAGACAAAACCAAAGTAAAGCTTCTCTTGAATTCTTGTTATGAAATCTGCCAAAACATGAAACTGAAATTCAGGTGCTGTTTGCTGGGTCAAACTCACCCTCAAAGTCTTTAAGTGACACATTTTAGCCAGTGAGAGGAAGACTGGAAAAAGTTCACAGGCACCAACTACACTTCATATATGGTAGTTCTTATTGTATCCCTGTTCATATGGTGTTTGGAATTTATATGGTCACCATTATTGTAGAATATGATCACTTTGCCATCTTTTAGTGTATTTATCCTCCCGACACCCCTGTAAGGTAGTAATGTGCTATTACCCCTGCTTTACATATGGGAAACTGAGAAAGAGTAAGTGATTTGCCCACATTCATGCAGGTAGTCTCTGGCAAAGCAGGGAATTGAACCCTGGTCTCCCATTTGCTAAGTCCTGTACTGTGCATTGGACCTGATCCTCCATTCTGTGGATGGCATGTGTGGTTGGTTTGTCTTTTAAATTACTGAACTTTTTTCATATTAGACTTTTCTTACTGTTCATATAGGAGGTAGTGATGAGAGGCAGCTGGGGTTCTCTTGACTTGCTGCAAGTTGACCCTTGATATAAACTATTAATGTAAATGTGGTCTGTGACCCTCACTTGAAAACTTCCTGCACAAAACTTCCTTTGAGTTTTGAGACTTTTTAGGAAAGTGCTGTCAGCTAGTGCATCTCCTTTGACCCCATCTTACTCTTCCTGGGGTAATAAATGTAGCCTGATTCAGAAACAAGAGATGGGGCCTTTTTAAGTGTGGGGGAAAACTCTCTTTTCTGAGACTAATCTCTGAGCCATCAAGTACTAAAGAAAACATAATTTCAAGCATCTAAGAAGGTATTAAAAACAGAGGAAAACACTGAATGTCCCTTTAAATATCTCAGAGCAAATAATCTGTTAATTACTCTTTTGACTTTTTTTAATCTGCACATTAGATTGAACTATATTATTATTATACATATATTAAGCTTGAGCAGTTTTTCAAACACAAGCTGCAAGGCACACTTATAATAAGTTTCTATAATCATCTCTCTCTCTTTTTCCTTGTGGTATTTAACATACTTAAAGAGGCAGGGCAATTTTTTTCAATATGCTAATGGCATAATTAGAAATGCATACCAAGGGCCTGAAACCTCAACACCCTCAAAACCAGCATCTCTCTGTTCCGACAAAGAAGATTTTATGTTTCTTTTGAATGTAGGTAGTATGTTCCTCTAACAATATAGACTACATACAGTAGCATGGGGGCCACAGAAGATATCTTTGAGTACTTCAAGCAAAAGTAACATCTGAGATTTTCATAAAATGAGGGTAGGCACCCATATTATTTCATGAAAAATAAAACAGTTTGTAAAAATGACTCAGCAGGAGGAAATGGAATTTATCTATTTAACATCAGCTTTCACTTCCTGTGCTGTTTTTTGTGGTCAGCACTGATCCACTGCAGGAAGAGTGGAAAGCGAGGTTTCTGAGTGACTCTTCAGAGAGCAATCTTCGGGGAGCAGAGTGAGGTTAAAGAGTTAAGCACATTAAGGGCTGTGGGCATTCCTTAAATTTACACTTTTTGCTTAAGGTTCAGCCTAAAGGGATGTTCTCAAGGCCAGATAGCCCAAATTTGATCTACCTCTGATTTTCTTGCATCTGTTTTTAAAGTCCTGTGTAACTGTGTTTTTTCCTTTAAAAAAACCAAACTCAAAAACCAAAAACCAACATTTCAGTGACCTTTGTTCCTTTAAAAATAAAATCTGTCAACAGCAACACATCTGTTCATTCTAGCTGCAAGCTAGCTGCTCATTATCCAACAAATCACCGAACCCTTTGTTTTCGAAGTAGAATTGAGTTTCAAACTTCTGTAGGATTCTTAAAAAGAAAAGGAGTACTTGTGGCACCTTAGAGACACACAAATTTATTTGAGCATAAGCTTTCGTGAGCTACAGCTCACTTCATCGGGTGCATCCAATGAAGTGAGCTGTAGCTCACGAAAGCTTATGCTCAAATAAATTTGTTAGTCTCTGAGCCCTGGTCTACACTAGGACTTTAGGTCGAATTTAGCAGCGTTAAATCGATGTAAACCTGCACCCGTCCACACAATGAAGCCCTTTATTTTGACTTAAAGGGCTCTTAAAATCGATTTCCTTACTCCACCCCTGACAAGTGGATTAGCGCTTAAATCGACGTTGCCGGCTTGAATTTGGGGTACTGTGGACACAATTCGATGGTATTGGCCTCCGGGAGCTATCCCAGAGTGCTCCATTGTGACCGTTCTGGACTGCACTCTCAACTCAGATGCACTGGCCAGGTAGACAGGAAAAGAACCGCGAACTTTTGAATCTCATTTCCTGTTTGGCCAGCGTGGCAAGCTGCAGGTGACCATGCAGAGCTCATCAGCACAGGTGACCATGATGGAGTCCCAGAATCGCAAAAGAGCTCCAGCATGGACCGAACGGGAGGTACGGGATCTGATCGCTGTTTGGGGAGAGGAATCCGTGCTATCAGAACTCTGTTCCAGTTTTCAAAATGCCAAAACCTTTGTGAAAATCTCCCAGGGCATGAAGGACAGAGGCCATAACAGGGACCCGAAGCAGTGCCGCGTGAAACTGAAGGAGCTGAGGCAAGCCTACCAGAAAACCAGAGAGGCGAACAGCCGCTCTGGGTCAGAGCCCCAAACATGCCGCTTCTATGATGAGCTGCATGCCATTTTAGGGGGTTCAGCCACCACTACCCCAGCCGTGTTGTTTGACTCCTTCAATGGAGATGGAGGCAATACGGAAGCAGGTTTTGGGGACGAAGAAGATGATGACGAGGAGGAGGTTGTAGATAGCTCACAGCAAGCAAGCGGAGAAACCGGTTTTCCCGACAGCCAGGAACTGTTTCTCACCCTAGACCTGGAGCCAGTACCCCCCCGAACCCACCCAAGGCTGCCTCCTGGACCCAGCAGGCGGAGAAGGGACCTCTGGTGAGTGTACCTTTTAAAATACTATACATGGTTTAAAATCAAGCATGTGAAAGGATTACTTTGCCCTGGCATTCGCGGTTCTCCTAGATGTAGTCCTAAAGCCTTTGCAAAAGGTTTCTGGGGAGGGCAGCCTTATTGCGTCCTTCATGGTAGGACACTTTACCACTCCAGGCCAGTAACACGTACTCGGGAATCATTGTAGAACAAAGCATTGCAGTGTATGTTTGCTGGCATTCAAACAACATCCGTTCTTTATCTCTCTGTGTTATCCTCAGGAGAGTGAGATATAATTCATGGTCACCTGGTTGAAATAGAGTGGTTTTCTTCAGGGGACACTCAGAGGAGCCCATTCCTGCTGGGCTGTTTGCCTGTGGCTAAACAGAAATGTTCCCCGCTGTTAGCCACAGGGAGGGGGGAAGGTTGAGGGGGTAGTCACGCGGTGGGAGGAGGCAAAATGCGACCTTGTAATGAAAGCACATGTGCTATGTATGTAATGTTAACAGCAAGGTTTACCCTGAAAGAGTGTAGCCACTGTTTTATAAAATGTGTCTTTTTAAATACCGCTGTCCCTTTTTTTTTCTCCACCAGCTGCATGTGTTTCAATGATCACAGGATCTTCTCCTTCCCAGAGGCTAGTGAAACTTAGAAAGAAAAAAAAACGCACTCGTGATGAAATGTTCTCTGAGCTCATGCTGTCCTCCCGCACTGACAGAGCACAGACGAATGCGTGGAGGCAAATAATGTCAGAGTGCAGGAAAGCACAAAATGACCGGGAGGAGAGGTGGCGGGCTGAAGAGAGTAAGTGGCGGGCTGAAGAGAGGGCTGAAGCTCAAATGTGGCGGCAGCATGATGAGAGGAGGCAGGATTCAATGCTGAGGCTGCTGCAGGACCAAACCAGTATGCTCCAGTGTATGGTTGAGCTGCAGCAAAGGCAGCTGGAGCACAGACTGCCACTGCAGCCCCTCTGTAACCAACCGCCCTCCTCCCCAAGTTCCATAGCCTCCACACCCAGACGCCCAAGAACGCGGTGGGGGGGCCTCTGGCCAACCAGCCACTCCACCACAGAGGATTGCCCAAAAAAAAGAAGGCTGTCATTCAATAAATTTTAAAGTTGTAAACTTTTAAAGTGCTGTGCTTAAAGTGCTGTGTGGCATTTTCCTTCCCTCCTCCACCACCCCTCCTGGGCTACCTTGGTAGTCATCCCCCTATTTGTGTGATGAATGAATAAAGAATGCATGAATGTGAAGCAACAATGACTTTATTGCCTCTGCAAGCGGTGATTGAAGGGAAGAGGGGTGGGTGGTTAGCTTACAGGAAAGTAGAGTGAACCAAGGAGCGGGGGGTTTCATCAAGGAGAAACAAACAGAACTTTCACACCGTAGCCTGGCCAGTCATGAAACTGGTTTTCAAAGCTTCTCTGATGCGTACCGCGCCCTCCTGTGCTCTTCTAACCGCCCTGGTGTCTGGCTGCGCGTAACTAGCAGCCAGGCGATTTGCCTCAACCTCCCACCCCGCCATAAATGTCTCCCCCTTACTCTCACAGATATTGTGGAGCACACAGCAAGCAGTAATAACAGTGGGAATATTGGTTTCGCTGAGGTCTAAGCGAGTCAGTAAACTGCGCCAGCGCGCCTTTAAACGTCCAAATGCACATTCTACCACCATTCTGCACTTGCTCAGCCTGTAGTTGAACAGCTCCTGACTACTGTCCAGGCTGCCTGTGTACGGCTTCATGAGCCATGGCATTAAGGGGTAGGCTGGGTCCCCGAGGATACATATAGGCATTTCAACATCCCCAACAGTTATTTTCTGGTCTGGGAATAAAGTCCCTTCCTGCAGCTTTTGAAACAGACCAGAGTTCCTGAAGATGCGAGCGTCATGCACCTTTCCCGGCCATCCCACGTTGATGTTGGTGAAACGTCCCTTGTGATCCACCAGAGCTTGCAGCACTATCGAAAAGTACCCCTTGCGGTTTATGTACTCGGCGGCTTGGTGCTCCGGTGCCAAGATAGGGATATGGGTTCCGTCTATGGCCCCACCACAGTTAGGGAATCCCATTGCAGCAAAGCCATCCACTATGACCTGCACATTTCCCAGGGTCACTACCCTTGATATCAGCAGATCTTTGATTGCGTGGGCTACTTGCATCACAGCAGCCCCCACAGTAGATTTGCCCACTCCAAATTGATTCCCAACTGACCGGTAGCTGTCTGGCGTTGCAAGCTTCCACAGGGCTATCGCCACTCGCTTCTCAACTGTGAGGGCTGCTCTCATCTTGGTATTCATGCGCTTCAGGGCAGGGGAAAGCAAGTCACAAAGTTCCATGAAAGTGCCCTTACGCATGCGAAAGTTTCGCAGCCACTGGGAATCGTCCCAGACCTGCAACACTATGCGGTCCCACCAGTCTGTGCTTGTTTCCCGAGCCCAGAATCGGCGTTCCACAGCATGAACCTGCCCCATTAGCACCATGATGCATGCATTGGCAGGGCCCATGCTTTCAGAGAAATCTGTGTCCATGTCCTGATCACTCACGTGACCGCGCTGACGTCACCTCCTCGCCCGGTATCGCTTTGCCAGGTTCTGGTGCTGCATATACTGCTGGATAATGCGTGTGGTGTTTAATGTGCTCCTAATTGCCAAAGTGAGCTGAGCGGCCTCCATGCTTGCCTTGGTATGGCGTCCGCACAGAAAAAAGGCGCGGAACGATTGTCTGCCGTTGCTCTGACGGAGGGAGGGGCGACTGACGACACGGCTTACAGGGTTGGCTTCAGGGAGCTAAAATCAACAAAGGGGGTGGCTTTACATCAAGGAGTATTTCAGGCAGGACTTCACGGAGGGTTCCAATAAGAAATGGTGCACCTAAGTTATCGTTCTTATTGGAACAAGGAGGTTAGCCTGGCCTCTGATTGATACATGGCTAGATTTACCTCGCTGCACCTTCTCTGTGAGTGACTGCAGTGTGACCTAGAAGAATGAGTCCCCTAGACAGGGGAGGAGGCAAATGAGTACAAAACAAATCTGGTCTATTTCTTGTTTTGACCCACTCCATCTATCTTTTACATCTTTGGCTGGCAGCAGACGGTGCAGAAGGACTGCATGCCATCCACATCTCTTGCCTGCCTGGCAGAAGATGGTACAGTACGACTGCTAGCAGTCCGTATCGCCTGCCCGCTCACCATAAGACGGTTCAATAGGACTGACTGCAGGACTAAAGAGAATGACCTGGTCAAGTCACTCCAAATTTAGTCCCTGCGCCCATGTCTGCCCAGGCGCTCCCAGCCGACGTGGCCAGGAGCACCTCGGACACGACGAGGACGACTACCAGTCGTATTGCACCGTCTGCTGCCAGAAGGCAATGGGTTGCTGCTACTGTGCAGCAAAGCCGTACCGCGTCTGCCAGCACCCAGGAGACATAGGGTGACGGTTACCTGAGCGGGCTCCATGCTTGCCGTGGTATGGCATCTGCACAGGTAACTCAGGAAAAAAGGCGCGAAATGATTGTCTGCCCTTGCTTTCACGGAGGGAGGGAGGGAACGGGGGCCTGACGATACGTACCCAGAACCACCCGCGACAATGTTTTAGCCCCATCAGAGTGCTCCATTGTGACTGCTCTGGACAGCACTCTCAGATGCCCGATTGTTTGCCGTTGCTCTGATGCCGGGAGGGGCGACTGAGGACACGGCTTACAGGGTTGGCTTCAGGGAGCTAAAATCAACAAAGGGGGTGGCTTTACATCAAGGAGTATTTCAGGCAGGACTTCACGGAGGGTTCCAATAAGAAATGGTGCACCTAAGTTATCGTTCTTATTGGAACAAGAAGGTTAGCCTGGCCTCTGATTGATACATGGCTAGATTTACCTCGCTGCACCTTCTCTGTGAGTGACTGCAGTGTGACCTAGAAGAATGAGTCCCCTAGACAGGGGAGGGGGGGAAGCAAATGAGTACAAAACAAATCTGGTCTATTTCTTGTTTTGATCCACTCCATCTATCTTTTACATCTTTGGCTGGCAGCAGACGGTGCAGAAGGACTGCATGCCATCCACATCTCATGGCTGCTCGGCAGAAGATGGTACAGTACGACTGCTAGCAGTCCGTATCGCCTGCCCGCTCACCATAAGACGGTTCAATAGGACTGACTGCAGGACTAAAGAGAATGACCTGGTCAAGTCACTCCAAATTTAGTCCCTGCGCCCATGTCTGCCCAGGCGCTCCCAGCCGACGTGGCCAGGAGCACCTCGGACATGACGATGACGGCTACCAGTCGTACTGTACCGTCTGCTGCCACAAGGCAAGGGGTTGCTGTTACTGTGTAGCAATGCCGTACCGCGTCTGCCAGCACCCAGGAGACATAGGGTGACGGTTACCTGAGCAGGCTCCATGCTTGCCGTGGTATGGCATCTGCACAGGTAACTCAGGAAAAAAGGCGCGAAATGATTGTCTGCCCTTGTTTTCACGGAGAGAGGGAGGGAACGGGGGCCTGACGATATGTACCCAGAACCACCCGAGACAATGTTTTAGCCCCATCAGGCATTGGGATCTCAACCCAGAATTCCAATGGGCAGCGGAGACTGCGGGAACTGTGGGATAGCTACACACAGTGCAACGCTCCGGAAGTCGACTCTAGCCTCGGTACTGTGGAAGCACTCCGCCGAGTTAATGCACTTAGAGCATTTTCTGTGGGGACACACACACTCGAATATATAAAACCGATTTCTAAAAAACCGACTTCTATAAATTCGACCTTATTCCATAGTGTAGACATACCCTAAGGTGCCATAAGTACTCCTTTTCTTTTTGCGAATACAGACTAACACGGCTGCTACTCTGAAACCCGTAGGATTCTTATAAATACAAATGAGAGAATAACTTTTCTTAATGATGAAGAAAATATTGCTTTTCCTCCTTAAGAGCACTCACTCCAGTGCTCTCTACAGGGAAGGATAATTCTGATAAACCATTCAAATAAGTGCCACTTTTCAGAAGTACAGAGAAAACCTAAAGGTGACATAGACCAAGGAAAAACCTGAAATAATTCTGTCTGTTCTGCTGCTGGATCTCGGACGTAGCCTGCATGTAGAATGGCTTGTGACTGAGTCCATTGAAGTTAGAGGTACTAATAATTAAAAGCTGGTATTAACATTAGAGCAAACTACTGCATGATGGCCCAACAAATAAAACTCACTGCTGCAACAACCTTCTCATATATATTTTTTTTAAAAGAGGACAACTAACAGGGTTGAAATAGTAAAGAATAAAATTGTCAGGCACACAGAAGAACATAAATTGTTGTCAACATGGTTTCTGTAAAGGGAGATCATGTCTTACTAGATTTCCAGAAAGCCTTTGACAAGGTCCCTCACCAAAGGCTATTACAGTAAATTAAGTTGTCATGAGATAAGAGGGAAGATCCTGTCATGGATTGAGAGCTGGTTAAAAGACAGGGAACAAAGGGTAGGAATAAATGGTAAATTTACAGAATGGAGAGGGGTAACTCATGGTGTTCCCCAAGAGTCAGTCCTAGGACCAATCCTATTCAACTTATTCATAAATGATCTGGAGAAAGGGGTAAACAGTGAGGTGGCAAAGTTTGCAGATGATACTAAACTGATCAAGATAGTTAAGACGAAAGCAGACTGTGAAGAACTTCAAAAAGATCTCACAAAACTAAGTGATTGGGCAACAAAATGGGGAATTAAATTTTATGTGGATAAATGTAAAGTAATGCACATTGGAAAAAATAACCCCAGCTATACATACAATCTGATGGGGGCTAATTTAGCTACAACTAATCAGGAGAAAGATCTTGGAGTCATCGTAGATAGTTCTCTGAAGACGTCCACGCAGTGTGCAGTGGCAGTCAAAAAAGCAAACAGGATGTTAGGAATCATTAAAAAAGGGACAAAGAATAAGACAGAGAATATCTTATTGCCCTTATATAAATCCATGGTATGCCCACATCTTTAATACTGCGTACAGATGTGGTCTCCTCCATCTCAAAAAAGATATACTGGCATTAGAAAAGGTTCAGAAAGGGCAACTAAAATGATTAGGGGGTTGGAAAGGGTCCCCTATGAGGAGAGATTAAAGAGGCTAGGACTTTTCAGCTTGGAAACGAGACTAACGGGGGATATGATAGAGGTCTATAAAATCATGAGTGGTGTGGAGAAAGTGAATAAGGAAAAGTTATTTACTTGTTCCCATAATATAAGAACTAGGGGCCACCAAATG